ATTATATAAAGTCCTGTTGAACAATTCAAAAACTGAAGTATAATCCTTATGCTGCGGCATGGTGTGCAGAACATACCATAACAGTAAAGTGAGTCTCATACTCAAACAAACTGTGCTGGTCTAAAGAATATTGGTTGTTTGCCAATCTAACCTGAAATGGAGATGAAAATAACTAGTTGAAAAGAGAATTCTTACAGATAATAATTCAAACAATAAAGATCTGAAGGGATGTTCTTCCCATCAACTCCACAGAAGGTAAAAATATCCATTCATGATTGGAAATCAGAAAGAATCTACTCAACAGAGACAACGTGCATACCCAGAAAGTGTCTGAAAGAAATATTTCCAAAGGGTTCATACTCCGGACTAAAACTATGTAGCGGATATCAAATTTTTTCCCTTGGAACAAAGCTGGGTGCTCAATATACTTCTGACATATCTTTGGTCCGGTCTCCATGAGCCGTATGATAGCAGATATATTACCAGTGACAGTTGTATCTATAGTTCGTGCCATGTTCCAAGGTTTTAAGATCCATAGATTGTTAAGTCCATCTCTTTTACGTACACAATAGTCACCAATAAGTTGAGACAGATGTGTTTCAAGATTATATGTAGGCTGCAGCCATTCAGGAGATCCATGCGCCTGTTAATAGGGGGTAAAAAGATTCTGTTATTTCACTTTTGGTAAACAATTATAATAAGCAGACGATTGTCTTGAAGGGAGAGAACTTAAGATATTTTAAACTGACGGACAATAGACAAAGGAGGATCAGTAGAAGAGTATTAACACTAGAATTTGCATCCAATGTGAATCTGGTTTCTTAACCTTCTGAATAGTCTCTGCCAAATGATGTTTCATCACAATACACGCCTCAAAAGGAAACTGGTTTATGTACTGATTGTCTGTTATTCCTGTAGCCTTCTTCATATCCTCATCCACCTGTGTACACGTCCATATGATTTCTGCATCCTTCGGATCAGTGGCTGAAAGCACCACCCAAAACCAAGAGAGAGAGAGATCTATCAGAGCATGGCAACATAAAATACACACACTCAAAATATTCTCAAAGGAGAGTTCCTGAACAAGTACATAAGAAGTTAAGCCTAGAAAGTCATGCAAAACTGAACTACAATACTTACTGATTACAAACTCAGGACGTGTCAACAGTTCTTCTACTTGAGGTATATCAGTGTACACACGTAAAGCCGAGGTTTCACTACGATGCAGGCTTCTTGTTGGACATGAATCCAACGTCAGAGAGGTTAAATTCTTTGATTTCAAGCTCCGCCGGTGCTTTTCATACTCCTGCAGAAATTAATGTCAATTAATATCAAAATTTTCGACAAGCAACAATTTGGAAATAAATTATAGCTCAAACCAAATCCTAATGTTTTATTAGGTAACCATACTCTAATAAAATAATTCTCTGGTGTATTGAACCAAGCTGTGAGTCTGGCAGAACGTTGCTTGTCCTCTCCAATACCAAAAAGATAATCACGAGTGCACTCATAACCTTTTTGAACATTCTGGATTGGCCATAATATCGAGAAGCTGAAAATAATACAACCAATAAATTATTTTAATTACCGTGGTAGTTTTTCATACAAATTACACCAAAGGCAAAGATGTATCAGTACAAATTATGCATACAACATCTCCATGGACCTATGTAAAGGACCAAAAGAAACATAGGCAAGTAAATCCATTACTCCAAAGAACCCAGGTTTCTGCATCTACCTTTCAAATTGCCAATTTTGCCATACAAACAACAAGAATGAAATTTCTACAGTACAATTATAAATTGGATACCAAGTTCATCTAAGATGACGAGGAAAATTCGTAAGAAAAGCAGAAAAGTAAATGGAAAAATAAAATAAAATGACAACCTCACAGCTGATGCTAGTGTCCCCTCTGGCATGAAGAGAAAAGGTGCCACTCTGAAATTTGGCTCATCACTATGCCGCAAAGCTGAACCCAGCTCATCCATCACATATCTACAAAGAACAACAAAGCAGAGGATCATCAGTTCAAAGTAAATAATTGGCTGTTTGTTCATGGATGTGCAATTTATTTATTCTGTGACGATAGTGATCTCAATTACTCAAGAGATACAACAAAACATCAATCAAGCAGAACCACAGTACAACGATATGCAATGCTCCACTATAACTATGCTTTTCTATTTGAAAATACTTTAATAATCTACCGCTTATGTTCATGGACACTTTCAATGCATGAATCATCGAGAAATCTGTTTTCTTTGAGATTGAGAAACATACAGTACAGAGGTCTCGTCGATCTTCTCCTCATCTGCAAGTCGATATGTCATTAAATATAGCCACATTGCATTTATAACACGATCAGTAAGTGGCTCATCTGCAGTCCACTCAGGAAGACGTGGCTGAAGCACTGAGTCAACCACATCCTTTTCAGTTTCAAATATTTTTGATGCATTGACACCATTTAGTACTGAAAGATTAGGAAGAGATTCAAGAATTTGAACAGCACTTTCTCCAAGAGGGCCAGGAATATCCACCTATAAAATAAGTTTACATTTTAATTATAGTCAAAGTGGTTTGTTCAACAAAGGAACCTTTATGCTAGAGAAAAGTAATCCTGAAGATATTACCTCCAGGGACTGTAAAGAAGGAAAATTCCTGAGTAACTGCAACAAGTCACCCACTGCGGTCTCTTCCAATGGATTTCCCCGAAGATTCAAGTATGAAAGACATGGAAGCTGAAGAGGTGTAAATGCCTAACAAAGAAAAAGAAAAAGTAACCATATCAGTGAATGCTGCTAGTTTACCAATCATCTAAGTATGTTCTTTGACTCTAAAAATCCACCATCATCCTTTACCATTTTACGTAAAATAAAATATCAGACTTCACCAGCAGAAATACTAAAATGGTTTATGAAAAAAGTGAGAGAGATATATAGAAAATGCTTGAACCTTATTGAACAAATTGTGAATACATCTATTTGACAGATCAAGATCAGTGACTTGCTTCAATGTGTTGTCAGGCTGATCAACGCTCCCTGGATTTTCCTTATCATACACTCCTCCACATAACCCCAATGCCCACTCACCATAATTGGAGGTAAACTTAGAGTTATATATTTCAAGATTCGGCAATTCTCGAAGAACTTTATCTGCCAATTCATCACCACTGAGTTGACAAAAACAAAACAAAATCTCTCAGTAAAGAAGTGGCTCAGTTAAAGTAGACATTAACACCTTTCTGAATATTAATAAGCATGCTTACCAATTTTGTACAACTGGGTTATTGTTCAGCCATAGAGCTCTTAGATTTTTGAACTTGGTAACTTCCTGAACAACTACTTCCACATTCTCAAGCTTATTTCCACACAAGGATAATGCAAACAAACCCTGAAAGTATAAACATACTAGACTTTAGGGAAAAAAAAATACTGCAAGATGTTCAAAAAATCGCTGGGCGGTAGGCGGGCGCCTAGGCCTTTTAAAAATAAAAAAATAATAATAAATGGATTTATAATTATTTTGTATTATAAATTATAAATTTGTTTTGAACTGCTTGAGGAGGAGAGAGAGGGGAGAGAGGCAGCTTGAGGTAGGTTTTCTTTAAAGTCAGGGGAAAAAAAAAGGACCCGACCCGCCCAGGCCGCCTAGCGACTAGGCAGCGCCTATGCCGATTTTTCGAACACTTCTGATTGGGTTTATAGAGCTTTAGAAATGACATACTGGGCACTTAGTAGACAAGTCTAAGCACGACAGCGTTTCATCATCGATGTCAAGGTCCTCAAGCTCCAACCACCTCACGTTCCCGTTGGCTTCAGCAATCTCATTTTCCAGTACCTCCAAAACGCTCCGTTTTGCGTTGCCCTCACTCAAACGGTCCCCTTCTGAATCAGAATTCAAATCAGCATCCACACACATTATCGCCGCCATCCTCTCAGCCAACCCAGGAACTTCCATTAACTACACACACAACCAAACAAACCCCCAAAGATTAAAGCTTCATTCTTTTCGAATTTTTCTCGGAAACCAAACAGAGCACTAGAAAATCAGGACGGCTAGAGAAGTAAAGAACCTGCTTGTAAGCGTCGGAGAGGCGGAAAGTCCAGGCGTGATCGATAAGGAAGACGTCGGAGTGTTCGGGCATGGAGTCGGAGGTCAAAACAAGACGCCGCTGACGGCCGTCCTCAGTGGGCTCGATTTGGAAGTGGAACCCGCCATCGAAGCTCTCCGAAAGAAGCTTCTGGAACAACTGGCGGTGCAGTGACTGAGGCAATCCCGAGGCCGCCAGAAGCAGACCGTGAACTTTGACGAAGTCCTCGTAGGTTTCGATTCTCGTCATTGCGATTGTCGACTGCGTACAACGAGGTTTCACTTGCGGTGTCTGATGTGATGAGTGTCTCACTGGTTTTGGCGGCTGCTGGGTGAGAAAAGAGGAGGAAGAGGATTCTAGTTTCCGGGAGAATTTAGATTTGGGTTGGGCTTTATTTGGTTCCACGTTATTCGGCTTAATGGGTTGGATATTGGTTGGGCCCACTTTGTGAGAATGGGTCCTTATTTTTTTAAGTATTAAAAAAGGTAAATTATATTAAATAAATAATTCAAAATTCAAAACAAAAAATCTCTCACCGTCTCGGCTGCACCTTTTAAATAGAATTAGTTATAGAGTATAGCCGATCGGCTATACGGTTTTATTTTTTAAAAAACTGCAATATAATTATAACAGTATAGCCGGCCGGCTATACTATTTATTATAAAATTAAAAAAAGAAGCCCATATTGACTCTTCTGGGTGGGGTCAGGTAGTCTTGACCCAACCTGAGAGGAATAAACCAACGACGACAATCTGTTTGTAAAGTCCATGTCGTTTGCTGGAACTCCCTCCCTTCTTCTGAATGTTCAAACGACAAGTCATAACCATTCTCTCTCCCTCAGTCACTGAAGCTGTGTGGCAGAGTAAATGGTGGGTGAGAAGTTGCTGACGCTGCAGATAGATGGCTTCCGATGGACTTGGCCGAGCTCGTGAGTGGTATCATCGTGCTTGAACAGCTGAACTCTAAGCCTCCTGTAAGTAATTACCCATTTCATATTATTTCGAAGAAATTAATCTCTTCCTTTTAGCTTTTGAATAGATTAAAGCCAACCCTTCTAATGCACTTGTTTCAGAGTTTTTCACACGTACTTTTTGTGTGGTTGAGTCGTTGACATTTAAAAATATATATATATATATATAATCATTCCGTTGATAAATTTAGAAAACTAGTTCTGAGAAGCATTTTCTATTGTAATTCTCTTTCAAACTTCATATCTTTTGCAATTCAAAATCATCATCTTGTTGTTTTAGTAGAAAAATAAAGAACCCAACTGAAGGCAGTGTTCGAAAAATCGGCCTAGGCGGTAGGCGGCCGCCTAGGCGGCTACTAGGCGGTAGGCTGCCGCCTAGGCGGTTACTAGGCGGTAGGCGGCCGCCTAGGCGGTTCCTAGGCGGTAGGCAGATCCTAGGTTGTAGGCGGGAGCCTAGGCGGATCCTAGGCGGTAGGTGGCCGCCTAGGCGGATCCCAGGCAGTAGGCGGGAGGATAGCACCGCGATTTCACCCTAATCGTTACGGTAGGAGCCAGGGAGTTAGGCGGCGCCTGGGCGGGTCTGGTGGCTGCTTCTCTACTCTTCTCGACCCAACCAGTGGCAGCGATGGCTTCTTCTCTACTCATGAGTTCAGAGGTATCTTTGGATTTTTCTTCTTTTCTTTGTAGCTGCTGCTGGGCTCATCTTATTTCAAAAGCGTGCAAGAGGAGATGATGGAGGCAGAGAAAGAGCAGAGACGATGGAGATAGAGAGAGATGGGAGGTGATGGAGGCGGATAGATGAGAGCTATATAGGACACAACGGATAGATAACTGAGGAAACGCTATGGTTCACTTGTGGGCTGCTATTTTAACAAGGTTCTCTTATGGGCCCACATACTAAAACATAACCTAATTTTTCGAACACTGACTGAAGGAGTGTGAAGTGTTGATATAGCTAAACCCCACATTTTGCAGGACGTGGTCTTCTTCTTTTTTCTCTTGATATTGCTCAACTTTTGTATTATAGATTCAAGGTGATCTTCTATCTTTGAGTTTTTTCTGTTAAACTGTAAACCATGTACAAAAGAAGAGAAGTGAAAGAAATTTTTGCCCACTTTGCAGCACCACGAACAATGCATCCTTTCCGTCACATGTACAATTTATAATTCCACCCTCACCACCAGGACAAATGTCTATCCTCTTTCTGGAAGAAGTTTTCCAATTAAAGCAAAATTTTGAAAACATGGAAACCTAGCATTCAGTTCTCTGGTACAACCTAGCATTCAATGAATTATTTACATGATGAACAAATGTTCTCATACGTAATTCATTTTTTCCCTTCTTTTCGTTAGGGCTAATATATATCTTCGTGTGTTGCAAAATACAACAGGATGCCAATTTCACTGCCTTGTTGATCAATTTGAAACAAGAAATTGACAACATCACCATTTCAATCCAGACACATGTTCCACTCTTGTTGATCAGATACTCAGTCGTCTCGGTTCGACAGATGAACTCCTTAGTTTTCAGATAGGCCGAAGCGAACAGGAACCCCCTTGGCCCTGAGCCAAGCATTCCCTTTCAAGAAAGTCCCTACAGTATATATACTTCATAGCCTCTGGCTTGTCATGGTGTCTATCCATCTGGGTGAATCAGATCCTCAATTGTTGAGTCCATCACTATGGTTCTTGAGAATTCCTTCCATGGCCTCCCGAGGTAGGTCTTGAACTGTGACTTTACTGGCTCAAGATCTTTGTCAGGCATGATTTTGCAATCCTTCAGAACTATTCCTGTGGTTTCCTGTTTGTCAGCCCGTCCCTGGGCAGTAACAATGTTTTGTTGGTTTTCCATAGGTTTCCTGACGTAGATCAAGCAGTTCTGGAAGATAGCAGCAGCGTCACCAAAGATGAAATCACGGTGCCTGAAATGACACAGCTCTTATAGAACTGCCGATGGGTTTGTGCATACAAGGTGTCTTGGTACCCTTCAAATCGGCAGTTAAGAAAAATAGCACGGTCTGCTTGGACTCTTGCTGCCACTGCCTGATGCTTCTCAGGACCTACCGTGTTTCTGAATCCCATGGACTTTGCCACAAAACCTTCTCCTAAGGCCGCTGAAACAGAAAAAAAAGAAAAAAAAAAGGGAATAAGTGCCATTGACAATGTCATTAACTTCTTACTGTAAGTATGGAATTGGAGCATGTCATATGGTTTAAAATGGTGAGTTAGGCCTTATATATATATCAGTTCTTGCCTAAGTTTTGCACATACCAAAAGATGCAGTTTGGAATGATGTCCTAACTCCGTCTGCAAAGTTCTTATTCCCGGTGATGATGCTCTTCTGTGACCCATCACCGGATATGGTAACATTTGGCATCTTTTTTGTCACAATCACAGTCTCATCAGACTCCTCCTTTAACGTAGATGATATATCTGAAGGTAACATTTGGCATCTTTTTTGTCACAATCATAGTCTCATCAGACTCCTCCTTTAACGTAGATGATATATCTGAATTTTCATAAGGGTAAAAACAAACTAATAAATAAAGATAGCAAGTGTGTGTAATTATTTGGATCTTGACTCTCTCTTGGGTTCACCATAGAATGAAAAGGAAAAATTGTGTTGAAGAAGATTAACATTGGATAGCCATTGAAGGCTCAGAAGACAAACGCTGCATCAACACAAACCCAATTGAAAAAACCATTATCATTTTTAGATCCACTTTCCTTCATCTCGATGTTCATTTTTATATTTGTTAGATTGGTTGAATGGATCTCACAGGGGAGCCAGGGCTGGGTTGGGGTTCCGAAAAAGGGCGGGGCGAATGGATCTCGCGGGGGCGGGGTAAGTGTTGGGTTAAACGTATAGCCGTGCGGCTACCCTTTAAATGGAATATTTTAAACCCGCACAGCAGTATAGCCGGTCGGCTATATTCTATAAATAGAATATTTTGACGGCTATACTTTATGAATACAATATTTTAAAAGTAAATGTATAGCCGTACGGCTATATAATATTTTAAATGTATAGCCGTGCGGCTATACTCTGTGAATAGAATATTATTCTAACGTATCGCCGTTGGGCTATACTCTCTAAATAGAATATTCTAACAGTAAGGCCGTTCGGCTATACTCTATAAATAGAATATTTTACCAGTATAGCCGACCGGCTATACCTTTTGAACAGAATATTTTAACAGTATAGCCGGGGCACAGCCGATATTTTTTAAAGTGTAGCCGAACGGCTAGACTCTCTAAATAGAATATTTTAACGGTATAGCTGGACGGCTATACTTTATGAAGAGAATGTTTTAACAGTACAGCCACTCGGCTAGTAGAATATCTTAAACGTATAGCCGTCCGGCTATACATTTGGATTACATTATTTACAGAGTATAGCCGCACGGCGATAATATTTAATTAGAATATTTTAAAATTATAGCCGTGCGGCTATACCTATTAAATAGAATAATTTAAAAATATAGCTTCCCGACCATACCCAGCTCTGCATTTATTTTTTCATTACTTTAATTAGTATTTAAAAATGTTATTAAAGAAAAAGTATAATATAACATATGAAGTTAATTAAAATATGTAATACTAATTATTCCCTAAAGAAATAGATGAATGAAAATGTAGAACACAGGACATTTGGATGGTAGAAGAAACAGTAAGAACGGGGTTCGCTAGGTTCATTATGTCTTTGAAAGTTGTCTACAAGTGGATTGAATAAATCTGACAAATGCTTAGATAGTTGCTTAGATAGTTGTTGGGCCCACTATTGGGCTTAATGGATTGGATAGTAGTTGGGCTCACTTTTGGAGAATATCTTCACTTCAATTGGGTCAGAGTCAAAGACAGAAAGTCAAAGAAAGAGACAAGATCATGATTTCCATATGCTTGGGGCCCACTTTATTTCAAGGCTTCTTAAAAATCATCTCTTTCGTCCCCTAATTTCTCCTCATTCAATGGAGACATGCAAAATGCACCTCATCAGCACCTGCTATGTGTTTTTGGAAAATTCGATGTCTAAATTGTCACCTTTTTTTTTTATGTGCGTGTGGTGGATGCATCGATTACTTTAATGTTTTGTGTTTTTAACTTCATTTGAGTGCATGTTGCTTTGCCTAACAACAAAAGTTGCACAAAAGATTACACCATTGACTTTCATTTTTAGTGAAAGACCTACTTTCATCGAATACAAAATCTTAAAGTTAAAGATAGATGTATTTAGTCGAAAACTATGAGTATCAAAGTAAATTTAGATGATTTTATGCTTGTACAAGCTCAATTCTAGAATGTGCAATATGTCTGTATTAGAAAGGATGTTAGTAAATATAGTACAAATAGCATGTAAAATTCTACAATACATGATCTTTATTCTAAATTTCAACTCGCCTCATAAAAATTCAAAAGTGTTATGAATATACCACTCTTATATTATTAAACGTGTTATTTGTATATAACATAATACCATATACTATAGTGATTAATATGGTCGAGAAAAAAAAAAAGCACTTTACTAATATACAATTACTTTTCGAATCTCTCTATCTTATTTATTATGTGACTTGTCTCATGAGGAGAGGAACACAAATAATAGTGCACAAACAAAACACCATCACCAAGTCACATTATGAGAGAAATACAAAGAATAAGTATTTACACAACTATATACCTAAGAATTTGTACCCGATGAGAAGGTATAATAGAGATTTTTGTGGTTACCAAAAAGATATAATTATTAAAAGATTGTAGATATTATTGGAAACCATGTTCTGGTGAAACCCGCAAGCAAGCATAAATCAACCAATGTGCTAGAATCCATGATAAGCAAATTAAATTAACACAAAAAAAAGGTGTGACCCCGTCATCTTTTTCCTTTTTGGTTAGGATGGGGGACTTTGGGTGCTTGCTATAAGAGCAAAGTGTAAAGAAATATTCATCATTATCAAAATCACAGTGGAGCCAGCCATCACCATCCCCATCACATTCACACACAGACAGAATCAACCAGATCCTTGTTCAGCATCAAAACACCACAGTTCATACCATGAGCCGACCACACACAAAATCTCCCCACACCCCAAAAGAAAAGATTTTAAAAAAATGGATAAATTAATAAGCAGATAACTCAGTTTACTGTTCCCCATATTCCCATATTTTAAGCCCTGGTTCAAATCAGGATAAGGCTTGGCCTCACTCATTATTCTCTCCTTTTTTCTTTCCCTTCGCTTAATTTATCCATATTTCAATTCGGATAGACTTTTCTCAGAAACAGAGTATATATTTATATGAGAAAAATGGAGAAAATATCGCTACCCCATGTGCTCTTCACCAGCTATTAATAGCCCACCTCAGTCGTTTCTCTTCTCTCTGTTTTCTTTCAATCCAAATCCACTCTTTTTTCTATGCAAGCTTCCAACTTTGAACCAGCCCACATGTCTATTGCTTTAGACAGAAATGGTGGTGGTGGCAATATGATCCAACGGCCGAGGTTCATCCACGGGATGCCTTGTCCCTCGATGTACGACTCGTCGGAGAACAAGGGCTTTGCTCAACATCGTCGTTTGGAGCAGGACTTGGACTCTTGTAGTTCGTCTTCAGTTGGTCGGAATAGTGATTCGTCTAATGGGTCATCGGAGGGCGACGACTCTGGTGAGGCTGAGATTCAGAGCTCGTATAAAGGACCTTTGGACACCATGGACCAGCTTGAGGAGGTTTTGCCTGTCAAGTATGTTATTTGCCACCTTTACTTTGCTGGGTTTTTATTTACTTTGGATTTTAATTGGTTGGTTTTGTAGTTTTATTGAATTAGAGAATTTTTGTAATTTTGGTTGAAGTTTGATTCTTGATTGGTTTTTGGAGAATATTGCTGTTTCTTATTGAACAAAGACTTGAGCTTGAGTATTATTAGCATCTATTGTGTTGCTAATTATTCAATAATATACAGAAACCCCCAGAAATGAAAATTTGGAAACAGGAGAGAAAGAGAAGCAGTTATGTTTGAAGCTTAGCTCACAAGTTTTTCATAAATTTGGATTTGTTTGTATGTTTTGTATGGTTTTCGTGAAGCTAGAGGAAGTGAGAAGAATATTAAATGTTTGAGCCTTGTGGTAGATGCTCTTCTTGTTTGCGTTTTGAAAATTGGAAAGGGAATTCAATCAAGGCACGTTGTTGTTTCTGTCTAATTTTCATTGGGTTTTTTGTTTGTAACTTTCTTTGTTGTCACTTCAATGTTTTCTTGCTTTGGTCTTTACTATCCTCCAATGATGAAAAATGTTCGAATTTAGTTTTTCTACCTTGTCTAGTCTTCTCAGCAACCAAACAGAGCATATAGAAAAACTTTGAGGGAGTCCGAGTATGGAGGCGATATGTAACCTATAGTATAGTTTTTTTTTTCTCTTTTTTTTTTTTTTTTTTTTTTTTTTTTTTTTTTTTTTTAAATCTTTTTGAAGTTTGTTGACATAGAAGCCTGAATTAATGTTCAATCTATCTGTATATTATATCCGTCTTTTTGGCGGAAGAGGGAAGATGAGTTCTTGACAGTCAGTCTGTACTAATAATTTGATTAGTTCAAGTTTTGAACTTCTCTAATTGGGAGCTTTAAACTAAAAATGAGAGGGTTTCATTGTTCAAGAAAATGCTCAATGGTTAAAAGAGTTTCTCAAAAAGCCTGAAAAGGCTCCACACTCCTTCCATGCTTTGTGCAAGTTTTTGTTAATTGTTCTTTGGTTTGTGTCATGCATGAATGATAATTCGTCTGTGTGACAAATATTTAGCCATTATTGTAGGAGATCATTTCCACATGATTTAGATGAATCTCTTTAAGATCATCATACAAACTACATTCTCGAGAAACATATTTACAAGTATGATTGGACAATACTATACTATCTTATCTTTTCACGCATATGATTTCTAATATACTTGTGCTGTGCTGTGTCTCATTTCAGGAGAGGCATATCTATGTTTTATAGTGGCAAATCAAAGTCCTTCACAAGCCTGGAAGATGTCTCGTCTGTTTCTTCTGTTAAGGACCTTGCAAAGCCAAAAAATCGTTTTATGAAGAAGCGCAAGAATTTATTAGCCCATAGTAATGATAGGAATTGCAATAACCCTTTGAAGAATAATGGTGCAGTAAAGAGACCAACTGCTAACTCTAGTCGAGGTTCATTTCTTCTTGCGGAGAATTTGAGCAGCTCAATTTCACCACCTCCTACTTCCTGTCTTCCACCTCTGCATCCACCTCTACATCCAGACAGTAAAAGATCTCCTGGTAATGGATCATCCCCACCTCCTCTTCGACGGAACTCTCCTTGGCGGTCGTTCTCTCTGTCTGATCTACAGTGTGTCGCTGCAGTAACGCCTAACATAACTGGCTTGGAAATTTGAAGTGTCAAGAATCTACATTGACAGTTCAGGTTTACGTTTCGTTTTCACGATTCCGGAAGAATGTTGGTGGTGTTGAATTTTCAGTCTCGTGGGTTTTTCCCCTGTTCTTGCAGCATCTGCATACCATGTCCGGGCATCTTGAAGATCTAATCAGAGCTATAATATTTCCCACATATAGGCTTTAGTTGTTATGTTGATGACTGCACTGCGTCATTTGTATCTTACTAGTATCAAATTTATGTTTCTTGTTCCAAATTTGGGAATGTTCGACTTCTTTTACTAGACAGACAAATATATTGACATAATTAAAAATGCACCCGCTCATATAATTATATGAAAGCCACTAAAACTCCAAGTGCATCATTTAAACTACAGAATGATGTTAATTTTTGAAAAGCATTTGCAAGTATCATCTCTAGGAAAATTCATATTGAGGATGTACATTCATTTACAAAAAATTATGTCATTCTGTTATTTTCCTGATACAGAAACCCAATTTAGTTGATCAAGTAATGCTCATCACTACCAATTCATTGATTGCAATGTAGTAAAGAAGTCAATACAAGTCTTTCTTCAGAACCACCAAAGATTTCAAATCAGTGTTCTAGGATTTTGGTCTTTAAACACGCATTCAAACTACAACTATTTCAATTTAAAAGAAAGAAGAATCTTCTAACAGCTTAATTAATTCAGCTGCAGGAAGAAACAGAAAATGCATGAGCAAGAAGGGTTGCAAAGTCTTAGAATTAGTTGCATGCAGTGCCGTTTTACGGAAAAACAAAAAAGCTGCAGTTTTTAGCAGATAGCCAACTAAGAAACAAAGTGTTAAGGTACCCGCAGACCTTCAGGCATTTGTAAAATCTTCACAGGGCCAAAATACAAAATTTCTCAGAACCGGGAAGAAATTTAATGACACCAGGCAAATATGCCATAAATTTTTTTGTAAGCACATGAACTTTTGTCTTGCCATATATGATTTCTTGCTTAAAAGTGATGTCTAAAACAACAAAAACCTCTAAAAACAGACAAGAAAATTGATAAGAACTGCATTATGACAGCAGTGCCTTTAAATCAACTCGGGACCAAACTCTGAACTCATATTTTGGTGCTGCTGTCAGGTGCTCTCTTGACCTTGGTCATACAAAACCTGGTTGCATAGAACCAGGCCTCATTCATTGTGAGAAAACCAGCCCAGCGTAAGAAAAAAGCTTCCAGGTTTGTTTCTGAACTTAACCCACATTGATTTTTGTGATCAAAATCTTGTCTTTTTTCTTTCTTCTTCTTTTTCTTCAACTGATTTTGGAATCTGTGTTGATGTTACCAAAAAGAGGGTCTTAGCACATTTTGGTGGAGGGAAGGAAGCACAAAATGGATTCTTATACTTCTTCTCAGTTTGTGTCACAAGAGGGTTTCAAACTGTTTCATTCCATTGACAGAGATTTGTACACCATCTTGGTAATTCACCTCTGCAGGGACCCACTGGAGTCCATGCAGGTCATGGCCCTCTGGCTCTGGTTGGAGAAAGTTGGGTTCAAGAATGCTGTGAAAAAGATCCTATCTTTACCTTTCATTTTGATCAATGAGCTTGCAGATGAGGCAGTGACATGCCTCAACATAATCAACGGCACCCATTTTTCTTTACCATTTGAGGCCAATGACATTCCTCTCCTCCAAAGCTTCATGGAAAAAGAAGTGTCCCTCCAATTTTTCCATGAAAATCAGCAAGCCGCAGCTCAAGGTGTCACCAAAGCTGCCAACATTGTGTGCCTCCCAGCATTTGATGATATTATGAAGCAAGCCATTGAGATAAATTCTTCCCAAAACTCAGCAGATCACAGCCAGGTGATTTTATCATCATCATCTTCTTCATCTTCATCTTCATCTTCAATTCAACAACAACAGCTACAAGCTTTGCCCCAAATTCTGGTGCCACCAAACGAGAGGACCATGTTTGTGACGTTCTCAAAAGGGTACCCAGTACATGAGCATGAGGTGAAGCAATTTTTCACGGCAGCATTTGGGGATTGCGTTGAGTCTCTGCAGATGCAAGAAGTGCAGCCTTTTGAACAATCTCTGTTTGCTCGTGTGGTTTTCCACTCTGCATCAACCATTGAAGCCATACTCAGTGGGGTGAGCAAGGCCAAATTTACAATCAATGGAAAGCATGTGTGGGTCAGAAGATTTGTGCCAAAACGCGCAAGGTCTTTGCTTCCACAAATGCCGTGGCAACCAATTTCCCCTTTTGGGCCATAGTTGTTTAGAGGGGTAAATTTTGTATGGTGAACTTGTGCTAAAATAAATGAAAGTTTACCTGCTTGCCTCTTAAGCAGAAGTTGTGCCCATATGACGAGTTATGTTTTAAGATTTGTGCATTCTTTGTGCATATATTGAATGGAAGGTCACATTTGATCATTGGGATAACACAAAAAATGATCCCATTCAAGATAGTAACAAAGTATATATCTTTTGATTACTTACAACTTTGGCATGGAGTGAATTTAGAAGTTGCCTTTATATATGAAAAATTTGACTACCATGTCATTGTATCAACAAATCATCTACCATAGACAAATTTAGGATATAAAGAAACTATACCTGCTGCTGTAGCATTATTACTTTTAACAAATTATAGGCATCATTATTTTGGGAATGCAAATCAATTTTGTGATCGGATCATGTTGCATGTCTAGTTCATAGCACACGAGAATAAATGCATTTAAGCAATTGGATGAGGTCAATAAATAAATAAAAAGGTGCTATGTAGTAGTGTGTGCTCAAAGGGTCGTAAGAAAGCAAAGGTTTACACATGGGTCCGACACCTGCTTATTAGAACAAAAGATGAGTTCATGCAAGACAATGCACCAATGTCTCCTCGCACGTAATAATCTTCTAGTTTTGAAGTCCTACAAACTATATAACTAACATCTTGACAACCTATTTTGTTAGGAAACTTGAGCACAAAATTTATACCCAACAAAGGGGGAGAGTTGTACACGTACGTTATCTCAATCTTATTGGTAGAAATGCTATATTTGAGTCATATAAGCTGCGATATCCAATCCAACTCTTGTCAAAGGTTCAAGAAACATGCGTCTTCAAGTTTACTTTAACGACAACGTCATAACCAAATAAAAGAAAGAGTTTGGGACAATTCGTTTGTGTATGAACCCCCAAAAAAAACACATAAACTACAAAAAGGTTTTCTTTTTAACAAACAAACTTGAAATCATTTCTTTGTAGATTGAGAATTGTTGAGATAATGGTGGGCCAGAACATTGTAGAAGTCTTGGTGGGCCAACGTCAACGCAAATGAACCAACATGTTATTTTTACAATTTGGACCATGGCCAATGGGTTTGGCTCCACAACCTCTACTATTATTAATTGGACATGCCCGATATTTTACAAATCTTGAATGGTATATCTGTAAATTCAGTTTACATTTCATCAGACCTCTCTCGACTCTCCCTCCCCACTCTTAACTCCATTTCTCGGTCCAGAAGCAGAGAGCGACTAATCCAAAGCATCGTCCGTACAGTTTACAGTTCTTAATTTATCAAAAAATGGACTGGGGTTCGAATGGTGAAGAACCCACTTCCTGGGAAGAGCTTTACAGTATTAATTTGATACCATCAGAGTTGTTTCTCAAGTTCCGGAAAGAAGTGCAAGGTTTAAGGGTCGGCCTCAATTTGGAGGTATATACATATATTATATTTTCTTGACGTTTTTAACGGTTATATTATGTGCCCAGTTCAAATGGTTTGAAATTTTCGATAAGCCAATGCTCAATTCTCTGTTTGCTATGTTTAATGAGTATTTACTTTGATGGGTTACTCCATGCTGGCCACCAGATGTCCTGTTTTTGTGAAGACTGGTGTTTGAATAAAGTTTGGTTTGGAGAAAGTTTTATTTTTTATGATGTGTATGTTTTGAATTTGCAAACTTTAAACAACCCATGAGAATGATGCTATTAAACAGGGGAGCAGACACAGGGTCAGGTGGAAGACAATTGTGGTGTAGGATAGTAAAACTGTGTATACACATGCTACCTTTCTGGTGCCTTCTATACAATTCTGGTGTTTGATGCATATGTTGGGATACGCATCCCGGGTTAATCATATATGTTTAAAGGAGGGTTGCTTTACACATTTTGAAGTGTCATGATATGACAGAAGAAAAATCTTATATCTAAATAGTATGATTGTGTATTTTTGTTGCTTGTGGATTGGTTTTTGTTTCCTAGTTTGTAGGTTCTTCTTTTCTATTCTTCTCTTTTTCTCCTGATGTTTAAATACTGGATTTCTATGTGCTTCATATTGTGTATACATTTTTAAAAAATAAATATAAGCTGCTATGCATAGAATCTTAGCTAGAACTATTAACTCATATTGAGTGCTTCTGAAAACTGATTCATTGAGGTCATTATTTTGGTTCAGTTCTATAATGCTCCATGCAATGAGTTTCAAGGAAAGCTTGTCTTGAAGCCCTTAGCTCCTGAACGGATGTGGAAGTTCATCTATGAGCCTATCCATCAAGATGTTCGTATTCTTTCAAAAAAGATTCCTCTAACTGGATATTTGAATCTCCAGGTTTGATGCTTTCAATCTGATCCTTTATTCAACGCCCCACCCAACTTTCCTACACCACCAAAGCATATTATGAATCCTTTGCACCATCTCAAGCACACTTGGCTTAGCATATACCAACCTTACTAGTATCATAATAATCACACTGCAAAATGTTGGAAAAAGCAGGTTGGAGTAGGCCATAATTTTCAAATGAATGCTACTGGATGGAAGTGGAAACTTACTACATGTTTTGGTGGAGATGGTATATCTCGGATCCGGAATAAGACATCTCTTGGTGTGTGCCCTGGTGTGGATATGCGCTTTGGGTGGAGGGCTGATTATGTACTTCCCGAAGTTACTGGGCAAGTTCCTTAGTCTAGTATGCATTTAAGAATGTAGAGATTTTGCGGCCTTACAATGGTCAAATTCAAAGTACTCACTACAAGAGAGAGTCAGTATATCAAATCAAAGTACTCGCTACATTAATGTAGTGAGCTTTCAATATATCAGTATTTCTATTTTCCTTTTCTGTGAAGGTTTTACTGTTTTTTATTAGTTAATATATAACTTCTTGCTTTTTAAACTACATGCAGTTTGGTTCTTCTTTCTGTTTTAACTATTTCTTTGATTGATTAATTATGGTTCATGGTTGAAACCTTGAATTAATTAGGGCTCTGGGCACTGGTGAACCATGGTTCAACATGAACTCGGGAAAGTTGCAAGCATCATTAGATAGAGTTGAGACCATTCTAACCTATACTGACATCTACAATTTCTACAAGCCTAAAGACCAGGTATGACTTGTTGAGTTTAATCACTTAATAGATGCTAGCTGAAATTTTTCTGTATGTAGGAGATTTTCCCAATTTATTTCTTATCGTGAGTCATGCATCCATAATATGTTGTATGAAACACTTATGAGAGGTTTATCAACTAAAACTCTTGATCCAATATCTGGATGAAAGCTTTCAAGTATTTTGGTCACTCGAACTTTTATTCTTCAACTCAAACATGAAAATTCACTTTTGAAAGTGTACTGATTTCCTAGCTCTTATTGTGATTCTGTTTGTTTTTATTTGATTGGTTGACACCCATGTACACCATGGACATCCTAGGCTGTGTAGAACATGCTAATCCGAATGAATTATCTTTGTTTTGCTATGCCTTTTTCAAATGAATTATTACTTGATTCCATGCGTGTTGAATTTGTGAACTTGCCTTTGTGTAGTTTAGATTTCAGAATCTCTAATGGTACATTTGCAATATACGACAGATGGGTATGGATAAGATGGGTTTGGTATTAATCTGTTACAAAGTATCTCCACAGTTTGATTTTACAATGCATTTTTACTTTGCCAAATTTTTCTTCAGCAGGATCAGCAGAGACCTGAAACTGATGTCACAGATGTAACTACTTATTCAGGCGGTTAGCCTTCCTCAATATGGAGGGACTTTTCATGCAATGGGCTCGTTAATGTTTTATCACGCAATGCCATCAATAGGGGAGAGGGGATCGTATGTCAATGGATCAGGATGCTGCAGATTTACACAAGTACTTGTACATGCTGTTATTTCCTTGAGCTGAGTGTAGTTGCACACCAAATGATGGTTTATCTACTTTTGTTGTTTTGCTTCATGTAAATGATATTTAAATTTCAATCTGGTATATGTTCACCTGGTCCTCTATCTTCTTCCTGGGGTGCTACCAATGCCTTTACATAGTCCTTGACATGAATTGAAATTCTCTTCTTGGCCCTCATAGATGCCACCAGTCATGTATTTTGAAAAAGAGTGCTGTTGTAACCCTTCATCAAAGTATTCATTTCACTTTGAAATATTAGTGGCTGAGTTAATTGATATGAATTTTTTAATAAAGAAAAAGTGGTGATTTTTTTTTCTTTTTGGGTTGAGAGAAGCAGGTGGGTGGGATTAGTATTTGTTTGGGTTCTGATTTGTTTTGATAGATCAATCAAACGGCTCAGGTGGATTAGTTTCTGTTAATTACTGTAGGCCTTAGAATTTGAAACCCTGAGGAGGGAATATAACGTCAGTCGAGGACGACAATGGGCCATCATTCCAATCCAAACCTAGCCGTTGTAGACTCAACGGCCAAATGCCATTGCCACCTACTATAAAAATTCAAAATCTTCTTCCCCACCTCCACCTCCACCTCCACCTCCAAATCAAAACCCATTTGATTCTCTGAAGCAATTCGAACCTGAAACCCAGAAATGGCTGCCTCGAAATCCAATCTTAGGAGCTCTTGTTCCTTCCCAAATATTCTCCTCTCATGTTTGAATTTCACTCTCTTCATACTCTCTGTCACTTCTCTAGTTCCTACTATCCTCCTCAGGATGCCCCCAACGTCAATGGGCATGGCATTCCTGATGATTTCTGGCATCTCAATTCTCTCCTCCTTTGTAGGCTTCTACTCTCAGCTCACCCACCTCTGCTTCATAACCCATGTTTCACTTCTCCTTGCCTCACTGATCGGACAATTGCTTGGCATATTGGCCTTGTTTACCAAAGAGCGTTCTACCATTTCAATGCTCAAGTCGCCCCGGGACCCAAAAGAGGCCAAGCTTTTGGTGAGGTTGGAATGTGGGGTTCTGATGGCAATGTTGATGATGCAGATGGTAGTACTGGTGTTGAGCTGTGTGGTGCAGAGCTGCTGGGTGAGAGAGTATGAGGGGTTGGAAGCTGAGAGAGAGGCCATGACAAAGAAGAGGAACCGGCGAATCGCTAAAGTTCAAGAAGAATCCATTGAAAATGCTGCAAAGATAGCTGAGGTCAAGGCCAAGGATTTGGATGAGAAGATGAAGAACAAGTATGGACAGTGGGTGAAGACTAGTGAGTTTGAAGGCTAGGGGCTAGGGGCAGTTTCTTAGTTGGAGTGTGTGTTGTTTGTGCTCTTTTCTTTTTTGGGGGGGTTGTTCACTATGGTTGAGACCATTGGGGGAGGGGGGGCATGTGATGTAAAGCTTATGACTTGTGAGTGTTATTTTTATGTATTTTGAAGTGTTCAACATTTGTTTACAGAGGAAATTAAACACCTCCATCTCCATCACTCAGAACTCCATGTGATTAAATTAGTCCACGTTTTCCTTTTCTTTTTTTTTTTCCGCCAATCAACTTCTCTCCTAAATGAGAGAAAAAAGTTTTCTGCAATTTGCCATTTAAAGGAGAGAAAAAGGGTAAATGTGAAAAGAAAAATAAAAAGAAGCCTATTCAGTCAAGTAAAAATGACTCAGCTTGAATCTTAAACCATAAAAGAAGAACTCTTCAATTTATGATTTTATGATTCGGATTGAAAGTCAAGTAAAAATTAGACAAGTATATAATTCATTTCCCACAAAGGAAAATGTAAAAAGAGAACTAGTTAACATTCTTACTTTGGAGCACAATTCATTTTCTTTTCTTTCGATGTCTAATTCAATCACCTACTAATACTAATCCATTTTTCTAGTTTTCAGGGGCTTCTAAATACGTATTGGCCAAATTTCAACTGTTTTTTTTAGTAAAGAAGAAAGTTCTAACGAATCACTCTTTCATCGAATATAAGGTCTTAAAGGAAATTTTCAAATACATACAATTATTCAAAATTACACATATAAATAAAATCTCATAAAATTATTAGATCGCCTCATTACACTTCACCCTATGCTCACGTTTATACCGCACTCTTCTACAACTTTTTCTTTAACTCTTCACAAGATTGATTTCATGGATATCCAAGAAAAAAAAATTAGTAAAGAAAAGAGCTAGGTCTTATGACTTCCATAAATAAAGATTTTATAACATTGCCCCAACAAAAACAAAAGGTAAAAAGCAATGTTACAAAAGAAAATGTAAAAATAAAAGGCCAAACCGCGCAAATAAAGGAAAAATATAAACAAACCAACTACCCGGAGCAACTACTTTTAATATGATCGAACGGCTCAAAATGACATTGGACGATCGGATGGACAGAGAGCCATTCTTCTATGAATTTTTTATATAAAAAAATTATAAAAGAAAAATAGTATAGCGGGTAGAGCGTCTTTTTATAAATTTGGGCTTCTCTGACCGCGCCTTCCAAAGAAAGCCATCGCCGACCTCTTCACGCCATTAACATTACCAGCGCCGCCATAGCCTCCGAGCTCTGCAACCCAAAAAAATATCAAACCACAGAAGCTAACAAGAGCCCAATTCAAACTCATATTCATCACCGGTGAGAGCTAAAGCCCACGCCTTGCTTATAATTTCGGTTCAAGTTCATCGGCGAGCTTCGTCTTCTCATCAAAGAATTGGGTAAGCAGTCTTTTCCTTGTTTAATTTGAAATTTCCTGGTAAATTTAGTGTTTTAAAGGCACAAAGCCACAATCTTTGTTGATTTGGGTGCCAAGACTCTGGTGTTAACTCGACTGTGAAGAAATGGGTGAGATATCTCGGCCGAGTTGACTCAGTAGATAACGGTGACTGTTGGCTTTTTCCTTTGCCCTGCGGAAATTCTAGAAATGAATGTTCATTTTTATTTTCTTACATTATGGATAATTGATTATTGGTGACGTGGTCATAATTATTGAGAGGTTAATATTAATCTTTTTCTTTATATTCCAAGAAAATATCCTGCATGTGCGGCTGACATGCGGCCATGTCTAACAAAAGTTTCTAAATTCTAATTAGTGCACCGCAAATTGCGAAAAGTATAATAGGATAAGATTCGATCCATAAATTCTTTGGTAAATCTTGAATTTTATTTTAGTGTAAAAGAGGTAAAGGAGGAGGAGGGGATTGATCATTTGGTAGTGTTTTTTTGGGTAAAAAGAAGGCAAACGAGAAGAGGAGAAGCTTTTTTTTTTTTTTTTTTTTTTTTTTTTTTTTTTGGTCAGGAGCAAGAGGGTGTGGGGCTACAAGTCCCCACATTTGGTAAATTTTTTGGATATATGTGGGACTGGTCCTCAATAATTATTCAAGGACACGCATTAAGCGCAAAAATCTTTGGGCAAGATTTTGATTTACAGTTTTGTTTTTCTGTATTTTAAGAATAATTAGTATTAATAGGAAAAAAGGGAAATGAAAAAGAAAAAGAAAAAGAAGAAGAAAAGAAAGAGTAGTAAGGAGAAGAGTTGGCTGCTGCCCCTGGTTTTCTACACAAACCTGTGTGTTTGCTGCATACCCACTTCTTGTCTTCACCAGATGGTCAAGATAGACACAAATGATTTGGATTTTGGATAGGAAGAAGAACTTTTGAGTTTGGGTCCCCCTTCAGTGCTGGAGGCTAGAATCCAGCCACTATCTTGCCACCTCACCATCATGGGCCTCCAGATTTTGGGTCCCATCTGATGTGGTAAGAACTACATACCAGGAAATCACAAGAATTGTTTTTAACCAAAAATGTTAGCTACTTTTTAATAATTTTTTGTTCTTTTTCATGAATAAATCAATCAACTCAAGCCTACATGCTGTCATCTTGTCTTATCCACTATTCATAACCTCCCACTTGACATCTAGTAGTTATAACTGCTATTATATCCGCAGAGTTTGCTGAAATTACTTTGCTTTTGTTCTAATAGACAGCTATTTTTCCAGCAGGGACCAGACAAGTGTTTCACATGCTGAGAATTATTTTCACCATCTTTGTGATATAACATAGCGCAACAATTCTTCCTCTGTCAAAGTCAAGTCTGGAGGAGGAACTGCCTTGATGTTGACGATTTCAATTCACAAGCCTATGCTGTTGAGATATTCCCATGTCAGAATTAGAAGTCATCAAAAGTTTCACAAGATTGATCCCGTTCCATTCGTGTGAGTTATATTTTATATTTCTATTGATATTTGGTTTCCATTTGCATTCAATTGTACTCTTGGGTTTCTTCATTAGCATTCAGTTGTATTCTTATTGACCTGTATGCTGGAAGTGTGTTTTTCCTCCTTGTACTCGGTTGCATTCTCAGTTCCTGTTCGGAAATTCTTTAGTTTGAATTTGATCAAGCCAATTAAAGTTCTTGTTCAAGAAACGGCCACCCCTTATATTTGTTACATATCTCCCATTATTATTTTTTCTTTACCAAATGAACAGGAAAATGGAGGCAAAGTCTTCCCAAACGAGGAAGATGGAAGAACTGTCAGTAAAGCATCCAACACCATTTATTCCTAAGTTGGAACCATCAGGGGAGCCTGATCTACAATTTGACCGGCTGCAAACATCAGATCAAGATTTAGTTCAAGAGAAAAAGTTTGAATTTGGACGATTTATTGCACGAGAGGCCATCCTTGATGAAGAATTGTGGGTAAGTAAACTTTCTAGTTGATGACATCTTAACCATGAAGTTTTCGATGTGTATGCTATTTGTGTCCCATGAATAATATCTTGTGGTTGCATGCTTTTGGATTTGTGGCAGACAGCAGCATGGTTACGTGCAGAAAGTCACTGGGAGGATCGGGCAAATGACCGGTGTGTACTTTTGCTCTTTTATAACTTTCAGATTTTCTTCTCTCTCTGTCTCTGTCTCTTTGGTCTTTGTTAATCAGACTACTCTAACTACATGAGGAACATAAGGTTCCTGTCATAGGCAAGCCCACTAGATGGTCTATACCATCTGAAGTCATCATATAAAGCGTACATGCAGAGGAATTGCCATTTTAAACAAAAGCTGGCAAATCAAGCTAATAGATAAAACAAGGGAATAAGGAATAGTTCAGAACATATAGTTCTGAATCAATCAAGATTTCTAGAGAATACCCCATGGCTGGATCCTACCAATGGTGGGTCTCCCTCTGCACGTGTGCAGTCGTTAGTGTCTCCAAGTCTCCAATAAGTGTATTTATCAGTCAAATGGAGGATTGGACACTGCTGATTCTTGCTACACTTTGATTAACACAGATTTGCTGACAGCTACAAAAGGAAATTTGCAGATCAGGTAGGAATGACTCGTTCACTTTGAGTTTGACATGTGTACATGGAGTATATGTCTCAAATAAAATTCTGAATTGTATCCTTTTATTTTCTAGGAATTTAATGCTATAAAAAGACGAAGAAAAGGGGAATATGGGCAGAAATGCTCATGCATTATCACGGTATGCCATATTTGCAATGAGCGCATTTCTGGTCCTATTAGTTTGAGCTTCTATTCTGAGAACCCTCTTTGCATTAGGATATACACTATATTTAGTTAAGGCTCCCAATCAATAAAAATATACAATTGATGGCTGAATGTGTTTGCTCTTGAATGTGTCAGGTGAGGAAGGAATCAAAGAATATGAAATACACTGTTGTGAAAAGTGTAGTTGGAACACTTGATTTGAGCATCCGGTACTTGTTGGATGGAGAGACCTTTCCAGGGGTACAAGCATTTTGTTTAAAAACTAAATATCTACTGCGTTTGTATCTATTAGTCTGACCAATTTAATGGCTTAACTAAGGTGGCCACATAATTAATTTCTATTACAGGAGCGGGAAAAGGCTCCTCCCTTTTGCAGCATCAACAGAACGCAGTCAAATAGATATGGTTATATTTCAAACTTATGCGTCTCCAAAGCAGCACGTTGCCAGGGTATTGCAAGCAGTATGATGCATTTTGCTATTAGATTAGCATTGTTAGAGGGTAAGATTAAAATGAAGCATAAATTGTTCTCTGGGGTTATAGAAATGTCTGATATGGCGCAGTTGAATAAGGGCACATGAATTCCTCTTCTTATTCTATTGGTTTTCAATGTAACAGGTGCAGAACAGGTTTATGTGCATGTGCATAGAAAGAACAAACCAGCACAGGAACTGTACCGAAAGATGGGCTTTGAGGTATTACTATCACGGTTGTGCATTTGTAGATTGTACTCACCTAGCTTTATTTTCAAGTTTTTAATTTGAACAAGGACTGATGCACAGCTTTACATTCTTTTCAGATGGTTGAAAAGGCGACCTCTCAATTAGAAGAAGAGCAAACTTATTTGCTTCGTTTCAAGACCTGAAAGCAGCTTACTCACACACACTCATTCATGATTCTTTTGTTCCTGGAATTAAACAATTACTGTAGAATACTTGTCTACATGTGACATGAGTTAGGTCAAAATCCAAAAATCTCACATACTGTACAAGGTCATGAAGTCAAAGAGACGACCCTGCAAAGGTTTTTGGTATAGAATGTACTTGTCGCTCCTTGTTCAACCAAAATATGGTGAAATGAAAAATATTATGCAGTCCAATTCTCACTTTCTTTAACTGATTAACGCTGATTGTAATTGTGAATATTTTTTTTAAAGGAGGCAACTTTACTGGTACATCACATGCAATCTATGTAATAATAATGCCCTTCCCTTTGGCAATCGCTACAAGGCAGGGTTTACCCACAAATTTACGATGAAAAATCAGAGTCTGATAGATGATATGACATTGTTTGTTCCAAATCCAGTTAGAAGATCCCAAAGAGTAGCTCTTTCCAAAAGTGGGAAAATTTATTACATAATTTCAAGCACAAGAAGACAGCATTAATCTTTAAATTTTTATTATTTATGGAGATGCATCTCCTACACGAGAAATTGATAACAATTATTTCCAAGATTTTCCAGCGGATTCCCAAGGCTTTTTAAGCACAAGTCAACTAATCAAACAAGCAGCTGTATGATTAATCTCTTACCAAAGAAACCTTGAATGGATAGGCTACAAATGAGTGAACCAGCCAGAGGACCAGTAAAAGGACAGCTTGGGAAGTCGTCTGTGGTTGCTAAAACAAGGTACCACCTCATCTCCTAAGATGTTTCAGGAGCCACCAAACAAGCCCAATAGTGTGGAGTAGCTCCAATGGAATCAGTTATTTGTGGCAAAGCCGGGTTTCTGGTCACCAAAGCCCTAGCAGCCTCTATGCTGTCGTCACCAGAGACTGCAACGAAATGCAAGGCCGTTTGACCCATGGAGGTTCTTGCTGCTAGTGCTTCTGCAGACATAAGTTCCACAAGCTTCAATAAGAACTGCCACTTACCTTATTTAATAGCAACATAACATGCAGCGTCGCTTCTCTACTAAATTGCTAAAAACATAGGCAACTAAATAATCTCTCCCTGCAATCAACAAACTTGGCAAACCAGCTGTTCTAAAAATTTGGGATGAACTGCTTTCTTCTCAAAAACGTACGCAAAGTAAAATTATTCTCTATCTTTTGCCATTATTGGTTTGTATGTGTTGAGTAAGTGAATGAGGGAAGCAAATCAACAGGGTATGTCCCACAAAGACATAAGATGGCCAAACAGAGGAACCATGCAATCAGTGGCTCTCGCTTTCAATTCAACAATACAACCAACACTCAAATTTGATGTGGCGTGCATCATTTTTTCTTCAAACTAATATTATTCTCGTCATCTACCACATCATTTGATAATTAAAATTTGAAAGGAAAAACAAATAAAGTGATTATTGCCTGTTGTGAACTTATGAGCTCTCCCTTTTCGGAATATCGATGTTTCAAGCAGTGAAGTTTCATGTTTGAATATATAGATGCAGGAAAAAACACTACATTCACTTTACAGTTAGGAGATGCATTGGCTGCATACATTAGCAGGTGAAAAGGTAATGTTTCTAGATGACAAGAATTTCATAAGTCAAATATGTTGAGCATGTAACAGAATCCCAGACTAAAGCACAAATAACATGTGCCACAAATAAACATCCTCTAGTTTTATTTACAACGTTTTTTTTTAGGTCTGATAGTTTTACTTAGAACGTTGGTGCACAACTTAATGCAGAATCCGCCTTTCATCACTGATCCGTTTGTAACAAACACAGCCAAACAAAAGCTCAAGCATCTTTTTTGCATAGGTCCATCGAATTACCAATGTTTTCAGGGCGAAAGATGCTTTGTCCAAATGTTGACTGGACCATTTGGATAAACAAGGGAAGCTGCAGCATGGCAAAGAGAGTCACCAGGCAAGTGGCCATCGATGTGATTATGATAGAAACCCAACTGAATCTGTTATTGAGAACAAGATCAATAGTTGTACCAAAGGCTACCATCATGGAGGCTATAGCATAAAAGAGAGAAGCCAAGCCTAGTATCAATCTCCTTGGTAATGACTGAAGGAAATCTTCTTCCGCGTAACGAGCAGTTAGTATTGATAAAAACATCAACAGGGAAGTTAAAGAAGCAAATAGAGCTATTGCATCTGAAACAACAAACACCATGAATGTGCTTGAGTTCTTCGGTAACAAATTTGGAGCTCCACTGTTGTCGTTACCTCCAGGTACTGTAAAAGCAGCAGCAAAAACAACCGTGGCAATGAGAGTTGCAACGAGCATGCAAGAATTTGAAGTATCCTTCAGCCATTTTTCTCCACGCTCAGCTAATTCTTTGTGTTCCTTGGTGAATAATTCCCTTGCAGTTTCACCTTTTTTGTTCTGATTGTCCTTATAATAAGGGTGAACTAGTTTCTCCACCACCTAAATACCCAAAATAAGAGAATTAATAATGTCAAATATGTGTAAGTGTACTAGCAATTGATAAGTTTTCTAGATAAATACCTTGAACCACTGCAACTCTCTCTGCATTTGTAGAGCTGGACAAGATACAGATGAGAGTTGGGGAAGAGGAGCCAACTTTGCTGCCAGATGCAAGATGGTTCCCCCAGATTCAGATTCAAGTAGTGTAGAAGCAATTAATTTACTTCGTGCAGTCTTACCACATACAATACGGAAAAGATTTTCATGCCGAAATTCAATAGCAAAAGGGAGTAATAAATATCGGTCTTCGCTGAGGATAAACCACATTAGATCAGGAAAAAATTCTACTAGTGTCCTTATAAATTCAACTATCCCGTTAGTGGCAGCTATCTTGAGGATATCTGACTTAATCTGCTCCTGTGAAAGTTGTAAGCAAATTTGTCTCAGTAGTTCAACTGCACAATGATGTCTGAGCTTTGCATCATGGAGTCGCATGAAACCAGCTGGTGCTGCACGTTAAAAATGTAAGAGACATGAGTGGAAAGCATCGAGCAATAGCAAATATGGAAGGGTAAGATTCGAATCCAGACCTATTCGTTTAATAGCTCCAAAAAGCATTTGTCTTAACCAATGAACTACAACAGAGAACGAAATCATTCAAGAAAGTGTCAATTGTTGCAATATAGCCAGTTTTGCCTCTAATTGATCAAAACTAACTGTACAGGTGGTTTGATATTTTTAATTAAATAGACAGTACAAGTAGAACATCATTTTGGTACAACATTTAGCTGCATGGTACTCCTTTGGCTTCTTTTTCCTATTCAAATCTTTAGCTATGAGAAAACTTACTTTGTGATGTAACTGTTGGAACACATGTAGAAAGTAGCTCACAAAACTATCTTATAGCAAGCACAAGCCTTTGCATTGCAGAGTTTCATAATCTAGACGTGATTCCAAAAATAATATAAAATATGAATTATTTTTGGAAGCACTATATATAAAATTAATCTGACCTTTTACTTCAAAATCACCTGATTATAACTTTCACTGCAACCCTGTTTTGCTCTTCTTAAACCCAACTAACAGGTTGACTAAAACAAAACCCAACTAACAGAAGACAGAAACTTGCATGATATTCACGGCTATAGAGATGGGCCTCCAATAGAAACTAATTCTTTTCCTAATATGGTAAAAACCTGAAAATACTTAGCAACAAATCCAAACCCTGACCTCTATACTGTTCAGAAGGATCACTTTGGACGCTTTCATGGCGAGCCACAGAGGCTCTCACTGAGTGTGGTGGCCCACAGTCAACTTCAACAGTGAGAACTGAAACCAAAATGGAAAGTGATACACAAGATTTCAGAAACCAGTAGGAAAAACAAAAAGGCATAGAAGAGAGAGGGAACATGTAAAATTGTAAAAATGAGAGAGGAGGCGTAACATGGGTAAATGAAGCTCTCCCAAGATCCAAGCCTGCTGCCACTAAGGAAGTTTGACTTGTTCCTTGCCAAAACATCTAAAGGAGTACAATCTTCTTGATCAGTTTCAGTGGCCAAGTTAGGATATTCCTTAACTAGATACAGTGAAATTTCTGTTGCACAAAATTTTAAAGCAAATCAGTTAAATAATAATAGAGGGGAAGTGACATAATAGAAATTAAAGTTATCCACATTTTGTGCACGAGAGGCTAAATACCAGGGAAACCTGAAGCAATAAGCACATTGACAAGGTTAGCAGCCAAAGGACCAGTTGAGGGAAGACCAGGTTTCTCATGTTTAGTTACCAACAACAAGTACCACACCAGCTCCTTATTCTCAGAAGCAAAAGTGGCGGCTAGGAGTAGCGCAGTTCTTCCCGCGCTATCTAAACATTGTGTCAACTTGGGTTTTTTCCCCAACAATGCCTTAGCAGACCTCAGGCTTCCACCTATAGCAGCATAGTGGAGGGCTGTGTAGCCTATGCCATCAAGCATTTCAAGCACATCTGCAGGCACACGTTTCACTAGTTTCTCCACAAACTTTGAGTGCCCTTCACAAGCAGCAACATGCAATGCAGTCATTGATGAATTTGAGATCCTAGCTCTCTCAGAATTAGGATGTGTGTCCAGAAACTTTCTAGCCTCTTCCCAATTGCCTCTGGATGCGGCACGGTACAGTGGTAGGTAGTCATCCAAGTTCACTTCCACTATATTTGCATCAATCATTTATATAGTTCACTTAAAATTGAAACCCCCAAAAAAATAATGTCATCTATGAAGCATATGAATTATCTGTCATGTGATACAAGAACATGGGTAATCAGCTGCTTACATTTCTGACCAGGATTGCTATGTTGTATTGGGATCGGCTCTGTTGAAGAAGATGGGTTTACTGTGAGTAATGATGGTTGGTTGCAAGGAGCCACCACTTGGCTCCATATCCAGTGTGATTTCACCGCTTGGGAGGGCCATTGATGATTAAGTGTATATGTCTGTTTGCTAAAATAATTAGCAAAAATCAAGAACACAATTCTTGATCTTGTGCTATTTGAAGAAAGGAGGATGCAATTATAAAAAAAAAAGGAGGATGCTTCCTTCTTCGTGTCTTCTTCCCGTAAAGAAAATGGACTACTGGTAAGGTCAACATGTTGTCTTTTTGCTTTTTGACAGACGGCTCTCTCTCTCTCCTTATAAAAGACGAGAGTCTCCTGTCACTTTCATTTATTTATTTATTTTATTTTGGAAGTTCCCCTGAAAGTGCAAGGAAGAAAGAAGTGTACCTACAGGTAGAAGAAAACAACCCACTGCATTCACATTTCGAAAGGTATGTTTATAGATGACATGAACTTCTAACCCAAATATGTCCCCACAGTGACTCAAAAGGTATGCTTAATAGATAGATGCCAAATGCAAAAGGCCAAATTTATATTACGATGGTCCTGTAGTTCATTTACAGCATAGGTGCACGCTATTGGTGTTTATCTATATTCCAAAAACTCCAGACAATCTAATGCGGAATCTGCCTTCATCACTGATCAGTATTCAGTATATATAAAAAAGAGCCAAAAAGAAACACAATTGCAAACACCTTCTTTCCATAGGTTCGTCGAATTACCAAATGTTTTGAGGTCTAAAGATGCTCCGTCCAAATGTTGATCGGACCATTTGGATAAACAAGGGAAGCTGCAGCAGGGCGAAAAGAGTCACCGGGAAAGAGGCCAGCAAGGTGATTGGAATATAAACCCAATTGAATTTCTTGCTGAGCACAATTGTTAAAGTTGCACCAAAGGCTACCATCATGGTGGCTATAGCAATGAAGAGAGAAGCTAAACCTATTATCAACTTCTTTGGTAATGACTCGAGGAAATCTTCTTCGGCATAATGTGCAGTTAGGATTGATAAAAACATCAAGAGGGAAGTTAAAGAAGCAAATAGAGATATTGCATCTGAAACAGCAAACACCATGAACATGATTGTGTTCTTATCTAAGAAATTTGGATCTCCATCGTTGTTGTTACCTCCAGGTGCTGTAAAAGCAGCAGCAAACATAACCGTGGCAACAAGAGTTGCTACGAGCATGCAAGAATTTGAAGTATCCTTTAGCCATTTCTCTCCACTCTCAGCTAATTGTTTATGTTCCTTGGTGAATAATTCCCTTGCAGTTTCGAGATTTGTGTTTGGATACTCCTTAAAATAAGGGTGAACTAGGTTCTCCACCACCTAAACATACAAATAACAAAATTAACAATGTCAAATATGTGTGTTTGTAATACCAACTGACAAACTTTCTGGATAAACACCTTGAACCACTGCAACTCTCTCTGCATTTGTAGAGCTGCACCAGATATAGATGATAGTTGGGAAAGAGGAGGCAACTTTGCTGCCAGATGCAAGATGGTCTCCCTCGGTTCAAGTACTGCAGAAGCCATTAATTTATTTCGTGCAGTCTTATCACACACCATACGGAAAAGATTTTCATGACGATGTTCAATAGCATAAGTGAGTACTAAAAATCTGTTGTTGCTGAAGCGAACCCATATTAAATCAGGAAAAAAATTTAGGAGTATCCTTAAAATTTCAGTTGTTCCATTAACGGTGGCCGTGTTGAGGATTTCTAATTTCAAAAGATAGTCCAAACGCTCAGAAACATTCTTCTTTGAAATTTGTTTGCAAATTTGTTGTACTAGTTCAACTGCAAAATGATGTCTAAGTTTTGCATCTTGGAGTTTCCTGAAACGAGCTGATGCTGCAAGTTAAAAATGTAAGAGATGTGAGTGGAGAACTTCTAGCAGTATTAAATATGGTAGGTAAGGTTCCAATCCAGACCTATTGGTTTAATAGCTCCACAGAGCAGTCTTCTTAACCCATGAAGAACTGCAACAGAGAACCAAATCATTCAAGTGTCAATTACTGAAAATTGATAGCTGACTATTCCTTTTGGAGAAACACAGCCAGTTTCACCTCTAATCAATCAAAAAAACTATAAAGGTGTTTTGGAAAATCAATTTTCTTTAGCATTCAGTTTTAAAAATAGACAAGGTTTGATGCTTTTTATTCAATAGACAGTACAACTACAGCCTAGAAAGTAGTTCACAAAAATGATCTTATTGCAAGCAGCAGCAAGAACCATTAACGCTACAGAGCTCATAACATAGACCTTAAATTCGGCCAATAAAAATTCCAAAATAAGAATAAGGAATCCAAAAATTTAGCTCAAAATCTTCACATACGACGAAAAGCTGACAATACTTGAGCCATATTGATACAGAATTTGCATACCCTGACCTTTATTCTGTGCTGATGTTGGCATTCTCAGTTCGTCTTGGGCGCTTTCGTGTCCCCTGACATAGGCCCTCACTGAACGCAGTGGTCTATAGTTCACTTCAACAGGTAGAACTGCAACCAAAATGGAAAATGATAGGCAACTTTTTAAAGAATAGTAGGAAAAACATAACGGGACAGAAAAAGTACAGGGAAATGTAAAATTCAAAAAACGAGAGAGAAGTTATAACATTGGTAAATGCGGGTTTCCCAAAAGCCAAGCCTGCTGCCACTAAGGAAGTTTGACTGGTTCCTTGCCAAAATAAATAAAGGAGTACAATTATTATCTTGATGATCAATAGCAGTTGCCAAGTGAGGGTGTTTCTCAAGTAGATACAGTGAAATTTCTGTTGCAGAAACATTTAAAGCAAATCAGTGAAATAATAATAACGGGGTAAGCGAAAAAAGACCAATGTGATCCACACTGTGTGCACAAGAGAGGCCTTTACCATGTAGACCTGAGGCAATAAACACATTGATAAGGTAAGCAGCCCTTGGACCAGTGAAGGGTTGACCAGGTTTCTCATCTGTAGTTACCAACAACAAGTACCACACCAACTCTTTACTCTCAGAACCCAAACTGGCAGCCATGAGGAGAGGTGTTCTTCCTTCGCTATCGACAACTTGCGTTAAAGTGGAATTCGCAGCCAACAATGCCTTAGCAGACCTCAGGCTTCCACCTATGGCAGCATAGTGGAGGGCAGTATAGCCAAGGTCATCCAGTTGTGCCAGTTCACCTGCAGGCATAAGTGCCACTATATTCTCCACAAATTCTGAGTGCCCTTCGCAAGCAGCAACATGAAGTGCAGTCATTTTTAAACTTGAGATCCTAGCTTTGACAGCATCAGGATTTCTGTCCAAAAAACCCTTAGCCTCTTTCCAATTGCCTTTGAGTGCAGCACGGTACAGTTCTTGGTAGTTATTCAAGTTCACTTCCACAATAAATAAAAATTTGCATTAACCGTTTATAGAGTTCACTTAAAAACGCTATAAACCCAGAAAACAATAATATCTATCAAGTATGATTTGATTAACATTTGATAAAAAGAAAAATCAATCAAAATCAAAATAAAAAACAAAACCTAAACATGGGTTATGAGCTGCTTACATTGTTCAATATCATCAGTTGCAGAAGATGATGGGCTTCCACCAGTTGTGATTAGTGCCATTGATTATGTCTTTTCTGCTCCAATAATCAGCAAAATCACTATATATTTATGACTCGTCTGAACTCTGAACTGAATAAATATTGAGGAAGGAAATCAGATGCTTTACTTGTTCTTCTTCTACTGACGCTTTTTCAACTTTTACTCGGACATCTCATTAGTATAGCTGACGTGGTACTACGGAACTAATAGTTTTCTGACACCTCACCCAATATTGACACGCGTCGTCACGCTGTAGTCTTTATCCATTGAGGTTTTGATAGAAATCGGATGTCATTAAATTTCTTCAGTACTTGTATGAATTTTTATTCTCTGAACTCTGCAAATTCCTTAAAGCCATTTTTCTTCATAGCTTTTTGTGTAGTTTTTAAGTGAAATTGTTGTTCTTAATAATCTAGAACAATATCAAATTGCTTAAAATTTTACGAAGAATTGCAAGTCTGCATCCTCTAGTCGGCGAGTCTTGGCGGAGGCCCTTTCTAATGTTGAGACAAATCAGACTCATTCACCGCCTCACCTTAGCCCTTGCATCAACAATTTCATACAAATCTTGAGGAGCTTTAACGATCATTTGGCTTGCCTTTCGTCCATTCATATTATAACACATACTTTATTCATTAATACTATATTATGTCCGTTTATATTATAACATATATTTTATTTATTAATATATTATATCACACGTCATTCCCAATTTACAAAAAATAGAAAAGAAAAGAAAATAATTCATCCATCCACCGAAAGTGCGAGGAAGAAAGAATTCCCACTTGACTGAGATGACACGCCACCCAGAATATCGATCTTTCCACTTTACTCTTCATGTTTGATAGTACATGCAGAGCAAATTCTGCATTCACTTTACAAAAGTAAATGGATTGGCAAAATAAGCTAGAGGGCAAAAAGGTTGTTTCTAGATGACAAATATGTCGAGCATCTCCATAGCTGATTGAACTCAATGTAGTTTCCACAGGATGCCTATTGCGGCAATGACCCAAACTCGGATTAAACTCAATAGACGGATGAATAGCGCAATGGACCTTCGTGAGGATCGGACACCTTGACATGTTCTAATATTGGAGAAACTTTCAAGCCAATGATTTTCACCTCTGGATTTGAGTGGCCATCCAGAAAAGTATTTGTTAACTGCAAAGAGCACCATTTGACATTTTTAAATATATTCTTCATAAACTGATTTGGAAAGAACTATCTTAAATACGTTCTATTAAATTTCATTAAACCTGCTACAGAGTTTCAAGACACAACAAACACTGAACATATGTACCTGAGTGCATCCAAAAAGTTTCAGTATCCTCAATGATAGGCAGCTGTCCGCAATTAAACCCAGGGCCTCATCTGTCAAATTCCGGCACCAAGATAGATCCAGAGTATGCAACTTCCTTGAACGTTTGGCAAGTGATATGGCTGTGTTGTACCCAACCTGGAAATAATAAACAAACTCGGTCCATATTCATAATGTGGGAACAACTACTTATGGCTACGTAGACCAGGCTCCCACATGCCCATTCAACCTAAGGGCTACAGCCCAATCAAGTGGCAAACAGATTCTCAAAATCAAACCCGCCTTTGGTTCTGGCAATTTTGCATACAAAAAGATGTTCGACAGTGTGAGTGCACATACTAATTCACATGTGAACATGTGTGTATTCCTGTTCTTATAAGAGATGTGTGTGTGTGTGTGTGTGTGTGTGTGTGTGTGTGAGAGAGAGAGAGAGAGAAAGAGAGAGAGAAAGAGAGAGCAAATATTTGCCTTCTTGATATTATTGAGTGAAAGTTCTGTTAAACACTCTCCAGAAGTTTCCAGAAAAGCAGCAATAGCTTCATCACTGTCACAAGGGAAAAAGATAGTTCTGTAAGTTTATTACTCAAAGGAATGCCAACTGTGTGCAGTGAGCATCAAAATTAACCTAAAATCACATCAGAAATATAAGAATAGAGATATATATATGTTCTATTAACGACTCAATGGCAGTCAACAATCTAAAACAGAAAACTCATCAAAGGTCAGTGCAACTAACAAAAACTCCATTGAGTCTCATACTAAATTCTTGTTAGTAATATGCACTGTCTAAGCAGAAAGTCTGTAATAACATTGCACTAATGTAGCAAAAACAAACTGCATCATAAATAAAATTAATAATGCATCATATTTGCTTTTGAGGAAACTGAATACTAACTTAACATATTTAATAATTACCTGAATGCATTTCTACAAAGCTTTAATGTTTGAATTTCTCGGCAACCATTTGCAAGATATCCTAAGGTCAAATCTGTCAATTTGTACAAGTTAACAAGATCAAGTGCACATAACCCCGTACAGGTTTCAGCTATGACTTTCACAGAAGAATCTGTTAATTTTCTGCACCAAATTAAAACCAACCAGCTTCAGTAGAAAACAACAATAAATCAATGGAACTCTTAAAAGATGGCAAAAACATATTTATTGCAAAAGTTGCACATATGGATGTGTCAAAAAAATAAAAATAAAAACTTACCCACAATCAGTCAAAACAAGCTCCTTCAAACTCTGACCACGAGCAGTAACAAATTCCTTAATAAAATCATCGCAAACATTTTCAAGGCCTCCTAGCCACAAAACCTCCAAATGTTCAAGCTTCTTTAATGCTGGAAGAATAAGCAGAGCATCAATTCCTTGGCAATCATTTAGATATAGTTCCCTCAGAACTGATCCTAATGAGTCAGCCAAAGTGCCGATACTTGAGGAAGTGAGAAGGGAGCACTGGCTGAGATTTAGAGATCTTAGTGCAGGGGCAGAAGAAACAAGTGCACTAAGCCCAACATCTGAAAGACGGCATGCACCACTTAGGGATAAAGTGGTTAGTGCAGGCAAGCAATTTGATGACCGAGCCAAGGTAGAATGCAATATATAATCTGCCACACAGCGCCCACACTGGTCAAGTTGTAGCACCTGATTCACCAAAGAATAAATATCCAGCTTATAAAAATTGTTCAAATTACTAGACAAGAAACTGCAAGTTTACACTCAATGAAGAACTTCCATGTTACTGATAAAGCAACAGATATGGTTTCCAATGAGAAATTATTCCTTGTTTAAAACATAAATACAGGCTGCTAAGCTATGTTTATCAGGTTAACATTGAAATCTTTAAGTGATTAGACTTCTCACGAGCTCAACTTTCTCTAGATTTATCTGTGAATATGACAAAATAAGAATCTCAAACTCAAAACTGATGCCTAGCTGCCTGAATCTCTCTTCCTTCTACTACCACCAGGCTGGCGTTACCAGTCATTCTTTGCCCTCCCTCTGCTCCCATTTAACAGAAGCATCAATACCATAAGAAGTAGACTTTCAGCACCAATAATTGCTTTACATCTTCGTGGCAATAAAATCAGCACCCGAATAAAAAAAAACAAAAATCTAACTAAACTCTGTTCACTCAGTTTATCCTTTCTCCGCATTTGGATGTTATCATGACAACCTAGATTGGTCTCTTTCCACTCCCTATTAATACAAGCATCAATACTATAAAGAAGCAGACTCTAAATTTTTAGGGTAAAAGCTTAGTTTCAGTTAAATGATATCATAATACCACAAATAGCAAGATTGTCCCTTGAATCACAACCTATAATCCAATGCAGCAGACAATGAGTATACCAGGTTCAGTGTATATCACACACACCACATACAAATGAATATTGTATATACAAAACTATAGCTCAACCAAAATAAGAGAACGTACTGTTAAATTGCTGGTATCCCACTGCTGAAAGGATTTTGTAAACTGCTCCTCTGTCATCCATGAGCAATCCCTTAAGCGAACCTCTGTTGGCAATCCTTGAACAAGAAGCTCAAAGAAATGACTGTTCATTTTTCGAGAATCACAGAGCATCTGACAAAGCCGGTGTCTCAAAGCATCTGCCACATGCTCAAGTGAAACAATTGCATCAGCATTCTTAGCAAGAAAGGACAAACACAGATCTTGCAGTGAGGGGATCAAATTCTTTGAGAGGGGACGATCCTGAAAACTTTTAGGAACCCATTCAACGAATGGTGGTGTGGTCTGGTCTTTAGAGGGCAGTTGGGCATTTTTTGCTGCTCGATCTTTAATAATTTTCATGGCCGTAGAAAAGGGGCCCGGCCAATCTTCGATATCCTGTGCCACTTCAACCTGAGGAGGCAACTGATTCTCCTCTTCCTCTTCAGAAGCAAAATGAGCAAATCGAGAAGCATTTCGCCTGGCTATATCCCGAAACCGTTCCATGTACTGGTTCCCACTTGCTGCATTCTCTCTTGTATTACTGTTGTTTACCTGCCTCTCGTCAGGCAATGCTGCATTCTCCCTTTTACGAATAGGACTGGCAGCCACGTTCTCCACTGAGCTCAAAACTTCTGGTTTCACACCCAATTCCGCTTCATCATTACCATTCACTAACACCACTTCTCCAATCAATTTCCCCTTCCCTTTTTCTTCAATGCTGTATCTCCTTCTGCCATTATCTATACCATTCTCACTGGCCATCACTTCATCCTTGAGATCTTCAGCAACACCTTCACTTGCATCACTCAACTTCCTCTTCCCTCTTGGACTACTACTCTGAACTACATTCTCACTACACCTCTCCTCATCCGACTCCGAATCCAATTCCACCACAGCAACACCATTGAATGCAAAACCACCCTCCACCAACTTTCCCTTACCATTCTCATCAGCATCTAAATCAATCACCAATGCTCCATTATGCCCACCACCCAGTCCTCTCTTCGAGACTTTCTTCCCTGACCGCAAACTCAAAAACCCTTTACTTCTTCCATCTTCCCCTTCCCATTCTAAAGCCGGAAAATTAATATCGATCTCCAACTTCCTTTTTTTCTTCACCTCTTCTTTAATACAATTGGCCCCAAAACTTCCCAAGTCTAAACTCAGCCCTAATCCACTGAAACCCCTCTCGCCCTGATCAACTACTACCTTCCCCTTCTCTCCAAAACCTTTCTTCATCACCTCAGTCCCTCTCTCAACTCCCACAACCGTAACCCTCTTTCCAAACAGATCAAAACCCACCTCTCCATTCGAAACATGATCATCAACTTCTTCCCTAAGTTTTTCTTTCACTTCCTTCTCGGCCATTGAGCATGTGCCCTTCTCACGCCTCGCGGTATTCCTCTTGCGACTTTTTTCCGGGGCGAGATTCTTACTCTGATCGGAGTCTGGACACTTTGAAGCGAGACGGAGACTCCGCCGCCGCGCTACTCCCGAGACAGAGGTCGAATCGGAGCCGAACTCGACAGAGCACTGTTTGGAATTCAAATGAGGATTAGGGTTAGGGTTTTGGGGTTGGGAGGAAGGGGTCGAAGTCGAAGCGGTGGGTGGGGGCGGGGGTGGAGATTGGATAGTGTTAGGGGACTCGCGGGTCTTGGCTGGCGTGGAGGGATCTAATTTGAGCCTTGACTTGGGGTTGTGCGGCGTCGTTTTGGTGGAAGCGATGATCTCGCGGGACCTAAGAACCGTCATTGATCGGATAAGGAAAGAGAGCGACAGAGAGAGATATAGAAATGGCGCGAAATGACGGTTACAGATATGGAAAGTGGGCAGAGAATCGGAGAAACTGGGAAGAGCGAAGCGAAACGTGTGAGAAGACACTTCGCTTAGGTTTCGTGGGCTTGTTTGGGATAAGGAGTGAGTTTGAGAGACGCGTTTATTTACACCGGTTGTATTTTCCCGCCAGAGCAAATCTATGTAACTCTTTTCTTTTCTTTTTCGTTACACCTCTCTTTATTTCATAATTCACTTTTTTTTTCCAAAAAATAATAATAATAATCATAATTCACAAATTAATCCAAACAAATCGCTAAACTTTTAGATCTCAGTTTATTTTACAGATTTTAGTCTGCACATGATTTAGTTTTAGTAATTACATTCACGTGTGTTGTTGGCATTATGAAATAAATCAAAGGCGCACCCTAAAGTCTTTTTTTAATTTCATCTCTTTTGCTTTTGTTATCTTTATTAAATTAGAATATGTTTTAAGTTCGATTCGTGTGAATGTGAATTCGATATCTAATTCGACTCACACGAAAGTAGTATTATGTATAATTGTTAGTAGCTTGCACTTGCATCACATTATGTTGTAGCATTCTTTCTTCTTGTTTTTATTTCTATCAAAATGAATGATGTCACTGAAATTATCACGATAAATTAACAGTGTGTTATCAACATATCGAACAAATTAACCAAAAAAAATAAAAATTATAAGTGATATTTCGCTGATATTTTCAAAAAATTGATGTCATGTCCCGTCACCTACCTAACTCCTATGAATTTTCTAAACCACAAACGACAGTTTATCTTCGCCGCGTAGAAATTTCTTAAATGGAAACTTCCTTCTAAAGCATTTAAAAATGAGGAAATGACTCGGAAACCCCTCTCCCTCAACCCAATAGTTATAGGCGTGTGGCGGCATAATAAGGAAAAAAAGTCAGCATTGGTTGGCTGAAAAAGTATTAGGGAGGCCCGAGGCCTATCATTCCAACTGGGCAACTTCCACTCCGCTTATCAATTTCATTAATTTAATAGATACTCGGATTCACATTCATGCTATTATTATGGTTCGTGCCTGCATGCTGTCTTATCATCTTTATTCAAAAAACTAATAAGTTGATTTGTTTATAATCATAATTGAATTTGCTTGAAAATTATATAACATTATCAATGAAGTATACCGTAGCGGAAAATTACCTTTATTTGCAGACGAATGGTATGGGATTTGATTTTTTACGACATCTTGATAGTGTGTGTGCGTAAGACTCTCCCGCTAGTTATATCGCTTATATTTTTTAAAAAAATGATAATCTTACGTGATCTCGGTTTTTAGTTTCAATGTTACGATTTCGTAACTAATAAAACAATACGATGGGAATAATAGTAAAGTGTGCAACATGAAAGAAATAAAATCACAAAACTCTAATAGGAAAATTGCAACGCATTCTTAACATGAGACAAATGTTCAAATTATAGATCTGAAGACAATCTTCAATACAAGCTATTGTGTTCTTTTCCGCGTAGAACATAATTCAAAGATGTCCCTTTCAATTCCCTTTCAATTATTTATGAATGTTACACTTGTGAGCATATCACACTAGTGAACATGAGTTAGTATACAAAATATGTTCAAATAAAAACAAGAAATAAAAATAATAGAGAAGACATCGTCCACAAATGTCTAGGCTCTTCTTGTCATTCAATTTGGACCATTGTGACTAGAGCATATGGTATCTCTTTCAAAACAATAGTTATAAAAGCAAAATGAATGGCCATTTTGATAAAGGAAAAGAAATGAATGGGACATTTTTTAAAGTATCTTACTATCATATTGATCTAACAACAAATCTTGTCTAAATAATTTTGGGAATTTTGGAGGTTTACATTGAACTTACCAAGATTACACGTTCCAAAAAATTTCAAAATTTAATCAAATATGGATAATTCAAATACTAACTTAGAATCCAACTTTTAAAATTTATTTTCATATTTTTTTTTAGTACAAGCGATAGTCTAAATTACAGCGATGATGATTTCTCACACCCACACTCCTATGATGTCGTGAGGATTTGAACATAAAATTTCTGATTTGCAAGTCAATGTCCTTTTTCATTATGCTAAATCACGTTGGCAAAATTTATTTTCATATTTGTTCTAAAAAATTAGTTATCCAAAACCCTAAATCATTTTAAAGTCAAAAGTCATTAATAAGGAAATTCAACACTCAAAGAAATTTGCATGATTATGTTCCTTTATTAAGAAAAATGAATTTCCTCTTACACGCTTAGATTGCTAGCTACTCGTAAAACACTTTTCCTCTAAAATAGAAAAGAAAAAAAAAGGAATTTTTACATTAAAAAAGAAAAAGGAAAAAATGGATCATGGATACCTAATCATGGAGGTGTATCCAATATTCTAATCGCATTGTAGTGTCAACATCGTTATTGGCCATTGCCTAATAAACAAAGCACCATAACCCATTTTCCATTTTCAATCATTCATAGCACAAAGCTCGCATTTCAGAATTTCAGACACATCGCGGATAAAGAGATATAGAGAAAGAGAGAAAGAGAGAGATAAGAGAGGTTGGCTGCAACTGCTTGCTCTGTTTTCTCTTTCTTTGTGGTCCGTTTATGGCGATATCAACCCAACCCAACCATCAATGATAGCATTAAATATCACTGATCATTATAAAGGCGGAACTTAGAAGCATTTCATGACATGGGTCATCATCTTCACCTCCACAACACCAGCGATGGCGTCTCTCAGCGAGTCAACAGCCCGAGGTTTTCGGGTCCAATGACTCGCCGAGCTCACTCGTTCAAGCGCAACCCCAACACCAGCGCCAACAATGGCAGCTCTCATAGCAATAGTAACAGTAATAACAGCAGCGGCAATGTTGGGTTTGGTAGTGGAGAGTACGAAATTGACCTCCTGCTGAACTCACCCAGATCTGAAATTGGTGGGAACTCGGTTCCGGGTGATGGGTTTGACTCGGTTTTGGAAAGGAAGCAGACCCACCATGTGAGCCAGAGAGTTGCTGTGAGGGGCTTTCTGAGGAAGCCTATTGGATCTGTGGTGGTGGACTTGGGCTTGAGGGAGAAGAAGCAGCTTGGCCATTGGATGTTCTTTGCCTTTTGTGGGGTGTGCTTGTTTCTTGGTATTCTAAAGATTTGTGCTACTGGGTGGTTTGGATCTGCTATTGAAAGTTCTAGGTCCAATCAGGTTGGTTGAATATTACAGTATTAATTGAATATATTCATGTATGTCTGTGTGTATGTTTTGTATGTGTTGCTTGCTGCTTGGTGAGATTGTTAGCCAGTCGATGACTTGCTATTAGTTTCTGCTTGATGCTGATAGCAGGAAAAGTTCATTGTATGCGTGTTTCTACTGGGTTGGATTGTTTGTGTAATTATCTGTTTATCTGATTGCTCTTGCATTTCATTCTTAGTTGTATTTTATTTTAATTTCTACTGAGCATTCTGCCTTATAATTTTAGGATGGTTCTGACCCCATCACTCTTATGAATCGGATGGATCAAAGCTCTCATGATTATGGACATAGGGATGGAGGAAGTGATCTTGAACGAACTCTAATGATGGCGTCTGGTGTGAACCGTGTGGTTGGTGAAGAGAACAGCGTTGAAGTAAGTCTTAAATCTTATGTCTTGACTCTTGATCACATTTGTTTCTCTCTTTCCTCTTTTTGTTTCCTGAAAATAATTGAGGGGTATGGAAATGGAAAATGCTAAAAAATGGCTGAACTTGAGGACCAAACAGAGGAAAAGAGCCTTTTTCATTAGTTCATTTGTTGTTTCATTTCTGAAATTCACTTCTGGTTCAGTACACAGGTATCTGGTCCCGACCCAACAGTGAGAATTTCAGTCAGTGCATTGAATTGCCAAAAATTCACAAAAGTACGTAACACATGCAATTAAGCAACTGTACTGCTCTCTCTCTCTCTCTCTCTCTCTCTCTGCCTTGTGTGTGCAATTTGTGAACCTGAGGTTTTCATGTTCTCATCTCTCACTTGCATCTTTTGGCAGAGCTAGATGCAAAGACCAACGGTTACCTTCTTATAAATGCCAACGGCGGCTTGAATCAGATGAGATTTGGGGTCTGTCTATTGTGTATTTTGATTATTTCTACTGGCTAGCATTCTATTAGTATTAACTATAGTCTGATGCATGGAAATTTTTAGAGTGCAGATTTGTGATATGGTTGCTGTTGCTAAGATTATGAAGGCAACACTTGTCCTACCTTCACTCGATCACACCTCCTACTGGGCTGATGACAGGTTTGTTTCTGTAGTTTTGAAACTGGATTGATCTGCTGAAATGTCTCGTAAAGTTATTCGAGTTTCCTTATGCTCTGGATGGCAAGCATTCTAGTTTTTCCAGTGATTTTCTCTGAACTAATTACTTCATATTTACTTGCAGTGGTTTTAAAGATCTGTTTGATTGGCAACACTTCATTGAGACGCTGAAGGATGATATCCACATAGTTGAGACATTACCCCCTGCCTATGCTGGAATCGAGCCTTTCAACAAAACACCAATATCTTGGTCTAAGGTCGATAACAAAGTCATATATCCTATAATAGTGCTTATTTCTTGAATATTGGTAGAGGAACATGGGATGCTCATTCATTAGGGATGCTGTGTTATGTTCTCTCTGCAGTCTGCACACACTGGGTTACATGCTTGTAAGGCACACATGAAGCCCAGGAAACAGAAGTGTTACAAAGAGATCCAAATGTTTGGTTATTAGATGCACAAGTATGCACCATTCAATGCATATGAGTGGCTATGTTTAACTGTTATCACAACGTATCTCATATCATTTGTTACCATTTGTACTTAAGTATTGTCAGCTGATTTGCATTCTTCTGTCCAGGCTAGTTATTATAAGTCAGAGGTCCTCCCACTGTTGAAGCAGCACAAAGTTATCTATTTCACTCATACTGATTCTCGGATTTCCAACAATGGCATCCCAAGTTCCATTCAAAGGCTGAGGTGTCGCGTGAATTACAGGGCATTGAAATATTCAGCTCCAATAGAAGAGCTTGGAAAAACCTTAGTTTCTAGAATGCGGCAGAATGGAGGCCCTTATCTTGCTCTCCATTTGAGGCAAGTCTTGATAATTTCATACTTTAATATTAGATGGACGATTTTACTCTTTTGGTGTGTATGGCGTGAGTCATCTTTCAGGGATCAAGAGGCCTTGTAATAAATATTTATACTGCGATATATAATGTATTTGCATTGGTAAAAGTAGGTTTTTGTTTCTTTTCTTTGAAATGTAGGGTGATTGAAGCAATTTATTTTAAACTTGTCTCCCTCCTTTTGTACAGATTGTAATCTCTATATATTTACTATAGGTATGAGAAGGATATGCTTGCATTTACGGGCTGCAGTCATAGTTTGACAGCAGAAGAGGATGATGAACTACGGAGAATGCGCTATGAAGTCAGTCACTGGAAGGAGAAAGAGATTAATGGGACAGAGAGAAGGTTGCTTGGGGGATGCCCATTGACCCCTAGGGAGACTTCACTTCTGCTCAGGGGGCTGGGTTTCCCATCCAACACCAGGATTTACTTGGTAGCTGGTGAAGCTTATGGGAATGGAAGTATGCAATATCTTGAGGATGACTTCCCCCACATCTTCTCCCATTCCACTCTCGCGACAGAAGAAGAGCTGAGTCCATACAAGAATCATCAGAACATGTTGGCTGGCATAGACTATGTTGTTGCTTTACAGAGTGATGTTTTTCTATATACATATGATGGAAACATGGCAAAAGCTGTGCAAGGTCATAGGCGCTTTGAGAACTTTAAGAAGACCATCAATCCAGACAGGTAATTTAATAACCTATGTTCTCACAACTGCTTTTAGCATGTTGATCCTGTGGTTTTTGATTTATTACAGCTATTTTGAGTTTTCTTTCATGACAGCATACCATAATTGTCATTTCATTGCTGATGCAGGATGAATTTTGTAAAACTTGTTGATGAGTTTGATGAAGGAAAAATCTCTTGGAAGAAATTTAGTTCGAAAGTGAAAAAGCTTCACATAGACAGAGTTGGAGCTCCATATTTGAGGGAGCCAGGAGAGTTTCCGAAGTTGGAGGAAAGCTTTTATGCAAATCCTTTTCCAGGCTGTATTTGTGACTCAAGATGGAAAAAGTAGAGGCCAGCTAACAGGTTTTGCATTATTTCATGGTGTGAGATCAGAGCATGCAAAGACATCAAGGTGTGTGTTGCCATTATTTCGGACGAATTGGTAATCATAAATTTCAAATTTCAAAGAGAATTGGTAGGTTGGTTGGCAAGTGTACGTGCTGTGCTCACCAGGGTGAAAAAAAATCCCTGGAGCAGTGTGGAACCGAGACGAGAAGTTGTTGCAGCGTAGTCTGAGGGTGAACACAGAAGTCAGGTGTACATTACCACTACTGGAAAGTAAAGACCGATACAACAAAACACATAGAGAAACCTCCTTATCACTGTACCACAACCGTTAAAGAACACTGGTGTATTCTTTTGCTATTAATTTTCCTTTTTTTGTTCAAAACATTTGTTTTTAGGAGGGGCGTGGGGTGTTGGGGTTTAATGTATCATGAAGTTCGAAAAATCGATAGGAATACAAGGGATGATACTGAATGGAATGTGCAGTAGTACAAAAATATAATTAAAAGAATATCAACTTTCTTACCAGCTTCTTTTCCTTATCATGACTGATCATCTATCCTCTCTTCTTCTAGCTGTACCTTGAGGATTTGTTTTTTCTTTTGTCCGGATCAAACCATAATAAGAGAAGTGGTTCACATTTTTAACATCAAATGGGGATACAAAAGCTCATTATTTTTTTCTTTTTCAAATGATAAATTTCCCATTATTAATTTGTTCAGCTGCTCTGGGAGGTTGAGAGAGTACTATTTGGTTTTAAAAGTAACCTTGAATGAAATTACCAATTATATCCAATCATCCAAATTGGTGTATGAACGGCCATTTTGGCAGCTTTACACAAACAGAATTTGACAAGGATAACAATTGCCTGAAATTAAAAAATTACAACCAGAAACAGTTCCCTTCAAATTCACAAGAACTAAGAATGGCTCTTCACAAGGACGAGAGGGATAGAGAAGAAACAGAAGAGGGTGCTTAAGAAGGCATCTCGTTGCACAAAAATTACATGGAAGCAAGCTGGAAAATGGCCCAAAAATGTGTACCCATATCCATAATAATAAAACAAAAAAAAAAAAAAAAAAAAAAACAAAAACTGTAGAATGAACTCAACAATCACTGAAGAGGTGCAAGCTCCCCTTTGTCAATCAAGCGGAATTCCTTGCATCACAACAGTGTATCTTGGCTCATATAAAACCGGTCTATATTGACCAACGAGCAACATAACCCAAATTAAAACGAAACTTACCCATGTGAAGAGAACAAAATGCTTGAAGCAAGTATTGAGATGAGCTTCTTCCTTCAAACTCACAATTTTCTGAAAATGAGAGTGATAGATATGCGCATAGACACGGAACAATCGCTTAAAAATGGTCTTGACAACATCTTGGAAGTTTGCTGGAAAGGGTGCCCCTGTAACACATAACAGCAAATTAGTTTATGGTGTTTGTAGTGTGCAATGGTTATAAATAAAAACTAAGTACTTTATGCCTTGAGCTTCATTAAGAATTTTTCTGCTTACCCAATCTTTGAGGAAAGATTGATTCCTCATCAAGCTGATTTTCAATCCAGTCCATTAAGTACTCAACATATTTTGGGGCAGAGACCTCTATTGGTTTCTTAATGATAACTCCATCAGCCCATCTGTACTCGTACCTGTGGAATGTTCAACCAAACTGAGCACTTAGATCACAAGCACACGATCGGAGCTAACAAGTTTGTAAAAGAATTCACTTTAGGGTGCAAAACTTTTCTCTTTCAAGTATGAAGTAAATGCATGACAATGGAGGAAGCTTGATAATCAAGATAAATCATCAAAACGAATAAATTCAACAGTCACAAACAACTAGAGTGATTTGATTGGATGATCAAGAACCATACTTTGGTCCTGCAGACATTGTCGGACAATTGACCGGTGTGCAGAACTCAGTGAGAGTACCGTACAGAATGTTCACTTGGTTGAAAAAATCAACAGCTGTGTAAAAAAATACGAAATTGAAACAAGTTAAACATATAGCAAAAACAATTATCCCAGTGAATAGCAGAAAGATATAAACATGCAGAGACAATATGAAACACAACAAAAGAAGTTATGAACCATGGTGCCATATGCTGAATGAAATATCATAATTATGATGATCTTGAATTTCAGAATGAAAGTGATTCAAAGTTCTTACTGTTGACTGCCAGCCACTCATTTATATCTTCTCCGGGAGGCAGACGAACGGCCTCCCTCAGGTTCCCACTGCCCAAAGTTGCATCAATGTGTTTTTGAAGCTGGGCACCCTGCATTCCAACAACATAATATATATTGCTTCCATCAGATAAAAGAAAAATAAACCTTTGACAAAGTAAAAAGATACAAATCACTGTACTAAGTAACCATAAGGAATTGAATTGAGGTGTGTGTGTATATATATATATATATATAAGTTATAACATCAACCTTGCTTCCTGATGGAGCACTCTTTTTAGGCCGAAATGTCTTTTGGTTTCTGCACAATCAAAGATGGAATTCAGGGGAAAAAAAGAGAGGTAACGTCTTCCAAATTCAAACAAAGAACAAAGTAAGAATTTTGATATGTCTCAAAGGCATGAAACAACAAGAATAAATAACCCTTCTGTCTGATCCCACATAATTTGTAAATAATGAGTAAACAAAACCACATATCTAATTTGCAATTTTGATTGATGCCCATGTAGCAGACACCTCTAGCAAGGCCAAATATAACAGAGCTATGGTGGGAAAAGCTCTCTGATTTAATGATGCAACCAAGAATGAAAAAAAAGGTTGAATTCTATCGAATTCATGATCCTGAAAACAGATTATGATCGACTGAATGAAAAGGAAAAAAAGAAGAAATAATTTTCAACATATGGGATTTAAAATTGAGATCCTAAGCAAAACAAACCTGCTTCCCAGGCCAAAGAGACTCATCGTGTTTCTGTCTGTCTCACCCCTCTCTCTCTGCAGAATCCAAGGCGATAATACAGGGCCAATTCGAGACGAAAGAAGGAATATATATACAGAGCCAGACTATATATGAACATTTATCTATATATATTAGAGAGAGAGAGAGAGTTAGTCTCTCTCTCCCCACCTCTTTCTGCTTGACCTCGCTCATGCCAGTCTGTCATTTACAGCTTAGACTGAGAGAAAGAGAGAAAGCCTTGTCTTCCTTTCTTTTCCATTTGATTGCCAACCTGCTAACCTGGCTCATTCTCCTTATTTCTTTCTCATTACTCTCTTTCTTTATAGGTATGTAAATACATATATTATGCATGTATATTGTTCATGGTCAAATTAAGACTCCTTCAACTGGCCAAAAGAGGAAAAAAATTATGACCCTAATGAGGTGGCACTTAATAATGGTTACGAGCAAGCTTCTTATGTTACGCCCTGTCAACTGTTGATGTAAGTTGATTCTAAAATAGGTCTCACATACCATACATCAACAACTAATGGTCGTTAGTGCGTAAATTGAGCATAGAATGGTTGGCGGTATCTAAATCATAATCGCTTTAATCCTAATGATTGGGAATTTAGCATAATTAAAGAGGATCATACTTGGTGATTGGTACTAAGATAAGATTCATTAGAAAAAGAAAAGTAGAGTGGCAAAGTGAAGTTTGTGAATCAAGGATAGAGAGAGATGGAGATAGAGAACCAGATTCAGCATCTAAATAAGGTGATTAGGTCGTGAGAGAATTTTAAATGTGAGGGAGGGGTGGGGCCGAGAAATGATAATAAGATATATATGCATCTTAGCTGTATTTGTACTGGCATAATATCAAGATACATATCGAATTTAATTTGCCCAATCAAGTTGTGTTGGAACTGGACCATGTCCCATAAATAAATTATTTATGCACAAACTTGGTTTTAAATACAAATAAGTTATAGCTTGAGCTTGAAGCCTTGAATTCGATGACCTATCATGCACCAACTCCTTGGGGTCTTATCGAAATGGGACACTTCAATTTTATATGTGAACATATCAAATTAGCTGCTTAAAAAATTGCGGAATAATATCCTTAATTTTGGGAATGGATTAGTGATACGTGACACGTCTACCATTCAAATATTAAATTGTTGTTAACATTTACATGCGCCAAAAATTTAATTTTTATTTCCGAGTTTTTACTTATATTTTATTTTGAAAAATTAAAAGAACGAGAGAGGGTTCGTGTTCTGATTTTTCTAAATGAGTGATCGTAATATAATTTTGAACTGAAAAAAATGGTGTTGTTGACACTTCCCGCCATCTCGGAGCTCTATTTACCGTTATAATAAACGGATTTTCAAACTCCCAAGCTCAATACAAGTTTTGAACAATGAAAGAGTCCAAAGAAGCACACACACCATCCTCATTATTACAGGCCTAACCCAATACGCCAAAACAAACCCATCTACCACTTTGGGCCTTCTTCTGCTCACCCGTCATCATCACCTTTCACCTTTCTCCTGGTGCTGTACTTGGTTTTTTTCTTTTTCCAGTGGTGCAGTACTTGGTTTGGTTGGTGCTTAAAGATTTGGATTTTTGTTTTTCTGATATGGATGTGTTGATGCGTTGTTGTTTTCAAAAATTAGGTTTTACCCAATGGCTTTCTGGAAACTTGACAATGCAAGGGAGATGGGTGTTTGATGAAATTAATTAAAGTTATGAACTTGATGTTGTTCTCATGGAAAGTGACTCAGAAAAAGTGATTGAAAAGTGTCTAAAAAAATTATGCTTCTTGATAACCGTAGTGCATTTTGTTGTAGAGGAGATGGAAAATGTGATTGGATAACTGGTTCTGGCTTGCATTTGGGTTATTCTGCACAAATTAAGCATGGATTGATAATTAACCTACTTATTGAAGTCTTCTGGAGGAATTGTGAGGAAAAAACTTGAAAAATCTCGTACGATTGTAAGGTGTTAACTTTGCCAATCACACGTCAAATTTGACAAATAAATGGGTTTTTCTGATTATGGAAGATGGTGAGAAAGAACAATTCTTGGTTGGCAACACCCATAAAGAAATCTGGACCATACAAATTAATTGATAGGGTTATTGAGTATAGTAATCATCTTAAGATGCAAATAAGAAAAGGATTCAAATAATACGAACTTCCACAACTGGCCTGAACTCTAATTAATCCTGCAGTTACAAGCCTTCTCAATCACAGAAAGGAAATAAAAATGGACATGGACATGGAACAAAAAAGAAAGAGACAATCTTAGAGAGTCTGAAAATGGCGCATCAGATTGCCGTCCTTGAGGCTTGAGCACATGGGAGAAGATATTATGGGGGCACTGACCTGAACATTAAGCGCGCACACAACAAAACTTCTACAATCATACAATTAAACCGCCACTGACCTGAACTCTAATTAATCCTGCAGTTACAGGCCTTCTCAAACACAGAAAGAAAACCAAAATGGACATGGACATGACATGGAACGAAAAAGAAAGAGACAATCATCTAGTGACATTGCTTTTTGGCATCTCAAGAGAGAGACCTTAATTAATTAGTACCACCAAGAACACCCTTCAGTTTCTTTATCTGAGCAGCGTCAAGGAAAGTAGTCTGACCTATTAATTTGGTAGCCAAATCGTTTTTGAACAAAGCGAAGTCCAGAATTTGGAGACCCGGGCTTGCACTCCCGAAGCTAGCAAATGCAAGGGCTGGAGCCTCACCTCCATTGACTTGGAAGTGCAACAGCCCCTGAGGGAAAACCATAATGTCACCCTTCTCAAGAGTTTGCAGATAAGGTGTGTTATCTGAGGCAACAAACCCGGCGCAGATTGTCCCTTCGGCGACAATTAGGACTTCTGAAGCTCCAGGGTGTGTGTGAAATGGGACAACTCCGCCAACCGCCAAGTCTAGACGGGCGATGGAAATGCCAAGGCCATTGACACCAGGAAACTGAGCAGCAAATGCAGGGGTGACTGCAGCTTTGATGATGTTACTGGTGTTACCAGCAATGCCTAGGCCCGAGAACACAAAATCATTTACTTTAACACTTGCAGGCTTTTTGCAAGAGAAGCCTGCAGGGCCTTCAGGAGCTGCCAAGTCTGCAACACAGAAGTCTTGCACGGCAGCATTGGAGGAGGAGAGGAGGAGAAAAAATGTGAACAAGATAGGGAAAATCATCGTTGCCTGGCGCAATAGGTGTGTGGTGGCTGTAGCTTTCTTTTCTTTTAAGGTGTGCAAGTCTTGATAAGAAAATTGGGATCATATATAGTGGGATAATGTAAATATCTTGAGCTATTGCAATTGGTTGCTGAGAATATGCTACCCATGTATTCACATGTATGGCAATGCTAAACGTACACGATGGGGGAAAAGACAGGTTTCAAGCTGTGAAGCATGTGAGTATGATATTTTTCTCAGATAACAACAAGAAGCTTCTTTTTGTTTTGGGTTATTGATCGAATGCTCCCCCAGTTTTTGACCTAATATCATTTTGGTCCACCAATTAAAATTTTTATTTCAATAGTCTTTCAACTCTTCATTTGGTATCAAACCAATACAAACTGTTAATATTACCGTTAATTGATGGGTAAAACTGTCCATATGAATTAAAATATTAATAAATAATTAAAAATTGAATGAAACTATTATAAAACTTAGAAAATTGAAAAAATTGAACTCTCACGACTATGTGGTTAGCTGCGACGACTGCAAGCTCGGCTTTCACCTCACCTTCGCCGAAATGTGCAGCCGCCAAGCTGTGAATTTGGAGGAATGGGAATGTGAGGATTGTACGGACAGTGAGGTTAGGAGCAAGCACTGGCCGCTTGGAGTTTTTTTTTAATTGGTCGAAAGGCCGCTTGAAATTAAGTTCAAGCAGATTTTGCAATATTTTACTTTAATTTTTAATTACACTTCCCCCCCAAAAAAAAACTTCATTAATATTTTAATTTATATAGACAGTTTTACTCCTCAATTTAACAATAAAATTGATAGACTTTGACGGTAGGACCAATTTGATACCAAACGAAGAGTTGAAGGACCATTGAAATGAAAAATTTAGTTCGTGGACCAAAATGAGACTGGAGCAAAAATTAAGGGACCATTCCAATCAATAACCCTTTCGTTTTGACAATGCAGTACTAGCAAAGGTCATATAAGCAAAACTACTGCCCTATGGTTCAGAGTTACCACTAACCGTGATGAAGCAGGCATGAGTTCCCTAATCTTTCGACGTTTCAGTACAATCCCATGTAGTAGACTAGTAGTAGTAGTTTAAAAAAAATTTGCCCACAAAGTGATAATTTGTTAGCCTTTTCCCATCTGTGTTCTATAGCTATGACCAATCAAACAGATGAAGAACATATTCAGCATATGCTGCAACTACTTTCCTGAATTGATCAATACATTAACAATATACAGGCTTATGTCATGTGTTACTAGTACTGAAGTGATGTGTTTTAAGATTTGAAGTCCAGCAGGAGAAGCCGAAAAATGGTGAGCAGATTGTGGTCCTTGGGAAAATGGGGAAAGATATTCATGGGAAGCCATTTTGACAGCTAAAAAATGCCAGAGGAAATGGGAATTCTGTGGATATCAGACATTCCCCTTCTTGTAGGGTTCTTGGATTTCAATATAGGATGGTAAAAAGTCTTTTCAAATTCTGTCTCTTTGTGGTGTATTTTTACTAAGATTCTTCTAGAGTTCACCTTATCTTTACATGAATATGAGCCAATGATTACCAAAAAACAAAAAAGAAAAACAAATTTATATGAGCCAATGTAGAATAATGTAGGGACAATTAATTCAATCTCAATTATGTATTATGACATAATGGAAAGACTCATATTCATATAAAGATATAGACAATCCAATCTCAATTATGTTATGTTAATAAGTAATTTTTTTGTCCTTAACCAAGTTGACAGAGAAAAATTAGGGAGTCCCAAGTGCATTGCTCTTACACCAGCACCATGTACACCCGCCTTTGTAACACTTTCCCGGCTTATGGACGCCCATCTCCTTAATCTTAGTGATTAGGGATCCAGCAGAAACTTTATACACAAAGCAGTCTTCAACAATCATCCTCAATACCCTTAGCCCTTCCAGTGATCCTGTAGCCACGACGACGTCTTCCTGATGAATTACACTCGTTAAATTTAAGAAAAAAAACACTCTCACTTCACCTGGAGTCAGTAAAAGATGTACAACGTAGACATCATAAGAAGAAATGAGCAATATCACTTACATCAACAACAAGAATACCACCTGCCACTTCCCCATCCTCAAAGTCCTGCATATACCATGAACAACATGAATACCACCTGCGACTTTCTCAAGGTCCCGCATTCAGTTATATATTGTGAATTGAAATTATAGAAAAACAGCTGGAAGAAGAAGTAAATTAACATGTATGTACCTTTATGTACAACATGGTTTAAAATTCAAATCACTTTATGCACCTCTATATAGGAACCATAGGGACCAAAAAGAAATGTTTCCAGTTCGGAATGTTGTTCCTGCACAAAATATAGATTAGACCGAAGGCTCATATTACTTGCCTAATGCTCACATTAATTCCAAATTTGATAAAAATTATGAAGATCAAGCAAAAGCTATAACACCATGTTACAGTGCTGAAGTTAAGGAGTACGCCACTTTACGGTGTGCAGTAAGGAAATAATACACAGCTGTTTAATTGTTTTTGCTAGATGTTTTTCTAACTGTTGGCAATATAATTGGGGTGCAGGCACTTAAAAAACTGGCAGGTTGTAATGTTGTTCTTGCTGAGGTAAGTGTTACAGTTGCTTTGTGATTTTGATGGCTACATTGCTTGCACATCTTGTTCTGTCTAATATTTTTAATTTGCATGTAAACTATCAGTGGAAGGAGGCATTATTTTAGCTATAGGCCCATTTGAAGGATTAAGGTTGATGAGGACATTCGTGGAAGACTGCATTGTTTACAACGTTTCCCTTCGAACCCTTATCCGTCGGGTTAGAGATGTGGGTCGTATGGCTGTTTACGGTAATCTGCGTTATATCTCTGGTGACGGCTTTGAGTGCAAGGAATGATTTTGGAGCCGTTGCCTTCTTTTCTCTGTGAATTCTGAATTCTATATATGGGGTCGAGAGTAGTATTGAACATTAGTATTAAACAATTTCCTCCGTTCAAACATTATTTTGGTATATATAGTTACCAACTTTCCATATTATCCTTATTTTTTCAAATTTTTTTCTTAACAATACGATATTCTAAACTACTCTAAAATACGGGGAGGGAGATTTGAGCTCAGGTGCAACTGAGTGGACACAGCTGCTAATGCGTATGCTCCTTAGTTTCAAATCTATTAATTTGATTAGTTCGGGGTTTTAGAGTATATTATATCATTCTTATTTCTTGATTGACAAAGCAGGTTATCTCAATATATAATGTAGATATTACAACGAATCTGGACCTGGAGATGCATTGTCATCTTAATTAAGATACAAATAGAGGGGGCATTTGCCTTCAACACAATGATACTTCTACAAGCATACAAAAAGCACGAACTAGAGTACTGTTTTACTAGTAATGCAGAAACTGCCACTGGGCAAAACAATCCTAAACTTACAGACCTTCTCAATCACAACAAGAAAACAAAGGGACAAGAAATAAAAGAAAGATTCCATCTTTAGTGACCTTCTTCCTCTTCGGTATCTCAATAGACCTTAATTAGTGCCACCAAGAACACCCTTAAGCTTCTTTATCTGATCAGCATCAAGGAAAGTAGTCTGCGCTATCAATTCAGTAGCTAAGGCATTTTTGAAGAGTGCAAAGTCCAGAATCTGCAGACCAGGGCTTGGACTGCTGAAGCTAGGAAATGCAAGGGCCGGAGTGCCACCTCCATTCACTTGGAAGTGCAATAGTCCTTGAGGGAACACCATAATGTCACCCTTCTTAAGAGTTTTCAGATAAGGTGTGTTATCTGAGGCAACAAACCCGGCAATTATTGTCCCTTGGACAACAAGTAAGAGTTCTGAAGCTCCGGGGTGAGTGTGAAAGGGGATAACTCCACCCGGAGCCAGGTCTAAACGAGCCAGTGAAATGCCAAGGCCATTCAAACCAGGAAATTGGGCAGCAAATGCAGGGGTGACTGCTGCTTTGATGATATTTGTGGTGTTACCAGCAATGCCTAGGCCTGAGTACACAAAATCATTGACGGTAACTTTTGCGGGCTTTTTGCAAGAGTAGCCTGCAGGGCCATCAGGAGCTTTGTAGTCTGCAACACAGAAGTCTTGCACAGAGGCATGGGAAGAGGAGAGGAGGAGAAAAAATGTGAAGAAGATAGGGAAAATCATCTTGGCTGAGTGTGGCAGGGATTTGTTTAAGCCTTTTTGAGGTGTGCTTCTTGTAAAGCAAATTGGGATTTACATATATAGCGGGATAAAGTGAATATCTTGAACCATTGCAATTGGTTGGTAGGAATGTGCCCATATAGGACTCACATGTGGAAAGATGTCAAGCATATGCGATGCAGCAAGCGACAGATTTCAAGCTGTGATGCATGTGAACATGATATTTTCTTCATATAAAAACAAGAAGCCTCTTTTTGCTTTTGAAAATGCAGTAACAGCAAGATCTTATTAAGAAAACTACTGACCTACGGTTTCAGAGTTATCACTAATTAATCATGTTGCATATCTAAAAAGAGAATCCAAGGTTTTGTTTTTAGATTAAAAGTCCTTGAGAGTCTGAAAATGGCACATCAGATTGCGGTCCTTGAGGTTTGAGCACAAGGGAGAAAGATATTATGGGGGCATAAGAAGACATTTTGACAGCTAAAAGGAGGCAGGAAAATGGGAATGTGTGGCTATGAGAAGTTCCCCTTCTTGCAGGGTGCTTGGATTTCATTATTGAGAACTGTAAAGTCTTCTCAAATTCTGTCTCTTTGTATGTCTTAGCTGCAATATTCCTCTAGAGTTGAGTCAATGTAGAAACTTATATTACAGATTACACATCGTGCTTTGAGCTTCATGCACGTAATATCGATGCCTCAGTTGAGGTTTCTCACTAATATGCTTTATAGCAGTGGATTTTCAAAATAATGCCTCTATAAATAATGCTACATTCTATTCACCAACATTTACTGTCAATTTTTTTTTACACAGATTTGGCTTAGAGACAAACGAAATATGGCGGTAACTTTTCTCTTTTGGTCATAATCTGTGGTTAATTTGAGTTCAGTTACTTCAGTACTCAGTTGCAGAATGTAAAAATGAGAAGGAATCTTTTCTTTTGCCTAGGTCTAAAATCTTATATTTTGCGTGTGTGGTGTTCATAGAAGCTTTCAAGATAAGGTTATGAGCTTTTAGGATAACCATCAGCAGGGTGTAGCCTTCCATCTTTCCTTTCAGCCAACAAATACAAAACATCCGTACAGAATTTTGTTTGTGAAGTTGTCCAAAACACTATGATATGGGCCACTGATTCTAAATACAAAAAAATATAGATACAATAGCATAGAATCAGTTATATATCAACAGTACATTATACAAAATTCTTTTCATGTAAAGAATCTGAAGATCAAGATTTAAACACAGAATGTCATGCTTAAATAGAAAAAAGGTTATGAGCAACACCCAGAAACCAAATCACCAAAGCTAAATTCAAACCAAAAACCAGAAAAGGGTTCTGCCCATTTCTCATGAACCAAATCACCAAAAGCTAAATATGAACTTAAATGGATGAGATTTGAGGATTTGAAGGAATGAGAGAAAATGATGGGACAGTCCTCCAATAAAGCATGAGGTTCATGAAATTTCATTACATTAGAAAATAAAGCTTCAAAGGGGAAAATGATAAATAAGTTTTTGGTATTTCCTGTTTGTTCAAAAAAAAAAAGAAAAAAAAATGGGGATAGATTGAATGGTTGGATGAATGAGAAGATTGAGCATTGTGCAAATCTTGTTTGCAATACTGGTTTCCTTAATTATGTTAAGTGAAAAGTAATATGAAAATAAATTAAATATCAATCTCTTTTTGTTATTTATTGGACAATATGGGTAAAGTCAAAATGTCGAAAGAAAAAAAAAGCTCACAGAAGAAGAAAAAGGAGGTCCAGTGAAGTGACTAGGCAATATCGAATTAAATTAAATATGTATAGAAAGAAGAATGGCAAAATAAAAGGAAAAGAAAGAACAGGAATTGTGGGAACCTAATTTTAAGCAAACCCTAGGTCAAATATTTCCTTTCATTTGGGGATTATTGCCTTGAATTAGGGATCCGATTCTCATTAAATCCCTAATTGATTTAAATCTCCTAAAATCAGAAAAATAATTCCTTTCCCAACAAAGATTATTTTTCTCCAAACCCTAACCCTACAAGCCTTTATAAATACAAGGCTATACAAGACATGAGATAAGCCATTCGAAGCTCACAAAAACTCTGCAAAAATATATTCCTTGCTGCCTCCTCTCTCTCTTGTACCTAAGGCTCCAGCGGCCCTGTTTACACCATAACCATATCTCTGTATCCTTTTTAGCTATTGTTTCTTTTCTTCTTGCAGTTGCCTGTTGACCATGTCTTTTGAAGATGGTAGCAAGTCACCAAGCTTTTAGGTGCCTTCGTATTTGTGAGGAGGCTCCCAAGTGTATAGTAAGAGGTTCGTGGCTAACCTGCACCGCGTTACGACTGAAGCTCAGTTCCAAAAGTGACGGGCTGCTTATACGTTTGTCATTTCAAATGACGTGCATGTCAAGCTAGTGAAGCCTCGGACTGACGACATGCCTTGTGTGGATGCGAATGATCCTGATGCTAGGATCATCACCTTCTGTCCCTTTTATTTTTCCTTAGGCTTCACATTCCTGTTGTCAAAGCTTTTCAAGGAGGTGTTCTGCGCCATGGAGTGTGCTCCAAGTCAGTGTACTCCGAACGTTTATCGAGCGATCATGTGTTTTGAAAACCTGAGCCGTTTCTTTAAGTTAGAGCTGACGGTGCGATAGTTCTTCTACTTTTTTGAAGTGAGGCGCTTCGAGAAGTATGCCCAAGTCCGCATCTGCAATGTCAAGCTGTTTTAGTGAGGGCGTCCGCTAACTTCCAACAGGTCGTCATGTCATACGTGATCTCCATGACTGAAACTGTCAAACAGCTTGACATTGCAGATGTGGACTTGGGCGTACTTCTCGAAGCGCCTCACTTAGAAAAAGTTGAAGAACTCTCTCACCGTCAGCTCCAGCTTAAAGAAACGACTCAGGTTTTCAAAACACATGATCGCTTGGTAAACGTTCGGAGTACACTGACTTGGAGCACACTTCATGGCGCAGAACACCTCCTTGAAAAGCTTTGACAACGGAAATGTGAAGCCCAAGGAAAAATAAAAAGGACGGAAGGTGATGATCCTAGCATCAGGATCATTCGCATCCACACAAGGCACGTCGTCAGTTCGAGGCTTCGCTTGCTCGACATGCACTTCATATGGAATGGCAGAAGCATAAGCAGCCCGCCACTTTTGGAACTGAGCTTCAATTGTAAGGTGGTACAGGTTAGCCACGAACCTTTTGCTGTACACTTGGGAGCCTCCCCACAAATACGAAGGCACCTGAGAGCTTGATGACTTACTACAATCTTCAGAAGACATGGTCAACAAGCAACAAAAAAAAAATGAAAAAATTCGAGCTGCTTGGACCAGCCCAAGCTGAATGGGGGCAGCCCAGTCTGCCACATCCTCAAGACACAGCCAGCGCGCAGCCCAGCCCCAGCTCCAGCACGGAGGCCCACGTCACGCCTGGCCCGCTGGCTCCAACACCCGCATCCTCAGCCCACGTCTCGAGCAAGGCCCAGCGCCAGCATGCGCAGCCCACGCCTCATGTGAGGCCCGTCGTCTCCTTGCCCAAACTCCAGCTCGTGGCCCGCAGCCATGCGAAGGCCCAGCGTCTTCTTGCCCAGTGCAATCCCACTTCGCACACCAGGCCTGGCGCCTCCCTGCTTCCACTTCGAGCCTAGCGCATGTAGGCTCAAGCCTGCCAGCCTTCCAAACCTCCAGCAATGCACGCAGGCCCTAGCTTGCCTACCCACAGCTGCGCAGCCCTTCCAAACCTCCAGTCATACTCCAGGCCATAGGCGCACCCCCCGCGGCTCCAATTATCAACTAGAAGGCACGGTTCTAGCTGCCAAAAGTCAGAAATAAAAGAAAATATATGCATTCCAAGCTGAATTACTTTGGATGTGCGGCAAAGATAAAAATCCCAAGCAAGTTGGAACGATTCTCTCACTGAAAAAATTGGAGGATCAGATTTTGATATGAAGAATAATTTGGAGGAGCTGTATATTTATAAGGATCAAAATTTCTTGACCTATAAGGAATCTCAAGCCCATTCTAACTGAGTATTCAGAAAATTGGCAAGTCAAAGACCTCCTCCGAGCAGGGAGTCCAGTCCAACAAGTCAATTCACATCTCTTATATACCACCACGCGCCATACACAGCTGAGAGGCATTTGTGGGAACCGAATTTTAAGCAAACCTCATGTCAAATATTTCCTTCCATTTGGTAATTATTTGACTTGGGGATTCTTGCCTCGAATTAGGGATTTGATTCTCATTAAATCCCTAATTGGTTTAAATATCCTAAAATCAGAAAAATAATTCCTTTTCCAACAAGGATTATTTTTCTCCAAACCCTAACCCTATGAGCCTTTATAAATACGAGGCTATGCAAGGCATGAGGTAAGGCATTCAAAGCTCACAAAAATTTTGCAAAAATCTCTTCCTTGCCACCTCCTCTCTCTCTTTTACCTAAGGCTCCGGCGGCCCTGTTTACACCATAAACACATCTCCGTACTCTTTTTAGCAGGGAGAAAGAGACGACGAAGAAGAAGATGAATCTTAGAGAATATTCATGTGGGAAGAAAAAAGCGCTCCCACAGGAATGATAGTATCCACAGAAATCTGTCCATAGGATCTTAATTACTGCACCTCCCTGGGTTAACATTCCAAATTTTCCATCTTTTTACAAACTTTTGCACACTGATTTGAAGGGGAAAATCCCCATCCAATTGTTGTACATCTTCAGCTGTGTCTGACTTGTGTCTCCTCATAAAAGAAAATCTGAGGAAAAGTTAAACAATTAGAATACAACATTAAAACCAGGCAAGCATCATGGATTAGTGGTAAGGATTAAAGTCAGCAAATCCAGTCTCAAGACAGGCATACTAATTGAGTACTTCTATCAGTATATATATGGAATGGAGTCTAAATTTGACCCAGGGTTGAAGTTGTTTAAGGTAAAGAGACCTCATTTTATCATCTCCATCAGGTAATTACCTAATTCCCTCTGGGCACTTGGGGTTGTGGTAGCTTGATTACATTGCTAATCCCATTTCTTAATGTTCTTTTTGTTGGATCTAGTGGTTCCCTAACATGGTGTTAGAGTTTTGGTTGGAGGTCTTGGGATCGAAATCTCCAATCCGTAACTATGTTTTTTCCCATTTTGAAATTATCCCAAGTGATAAATTCACAATAGTTTTAATACAAATTTATTTTACAGGGTTGTTATTTTCTGGATTCTACATTAACACTTTAATCATTCTCCTTTGCATATCAATATCAAATTAATCTAATTAGAAACATTGGACATTCTTGACAGAAATTATTTACTTATGTACACTAATCCAACACTAATCACCAGGCACTGAGTGATCAAAAGTGATGGAAGTACTGCATTGGATTGCACTCATTCTGTCCATTTTAGCAACCATTCACAACCATATAGGCCTTGGCTTCAATCACATTGCTGTTGGCAATGAGGTCAAAACGTCATCAATGACAAAAACTTAGATGGTATTAAGGTGACCACTGTTTTGTCAGGGACTGCATTAGCATCATCATATCCGCCTTCAAATGGCGCATTCAAACCAGAGGCAAGCAATGTTATGAGTGCCATTCTTGCATTTTTATTGGCACGAGGATCACCCCTTATGATCAATGTGCATCCTTACTTTGCCTACTCATCTGACCCTACCAATATACACTTGAACTACGCTCAGTTCACTGCAACTAGTCCCGTGGTTCAGGACGGGGCCTTGAGCTATTATAACCTGTTTGATGCCACGGTGGATGCTTTTTTCGCAGCAATGGAGAAAGCGGGAGGGGGTGGTGTTGGTGTTGTGGTGTCTGAGAGTAGTTGGCCTTCTGATGGGAATGGAGATTTCACCACTCCAGAACTTGCAGGGACATATAACAGGAATTTCTTGAAGAACATAACCTCAAAGGCAGGGACACCAAAAAGACCATGGTGCTTACATTGAAACCTACATTTTTGCCATGTTCAATAAGAATCAAAAACCTAGTGGCGTGGAGACATGCAGCCTGCTTATCGTGTGTTTTAAATCAAGACACAGAAAGTTTCAAGTCAAATTATGTATCTATAATGTAATAAAGACGTGAGTGATCTTGAAATTTTGGATGAACAATCAATTTCCAATAGTATCTATGTTGGTAGCAATACAAAATTGCTTCATCATTGTTGGGATATTGTGATATTCTTGATGCCTTATCATTATAATTTCATGTTGTTTCATTATCTTTCTTTCTTTTTGTTTTTTGTTTCAGTATCTCTCGGAAATAGCAGAGCATTTGGATTCTGGTAAAATGAAGTTGGATTAGAGGAATCAAAGAAATGAGAGGAAGGAAGAAAAGGAGGGTATCTTTGATTGCCTCCTCACATGTGGGGTTATTTAAGCCTAACATTTTGGGTGACATGGGACGTGGGGCGTGGGACGTTGGGCTCAACATGTGGACATTATGCTTTGATATCGTATCAAAATATGAGCATCCAACCCAAAACTAATCAACAATGAATTAGTAATTCAATTCCCCGATATGGGAGGATCCTCAAATAAATGCAGCATAAGGTTTCATGAAGTATTACAACATCGAGTTTCGTTAACTTGGTAGTCAAGTTCATGCTCGATATCATTTCGCATATCAAATTTAAAGTTGACCTAGAGCTAGTGATTTTCTTATTTACACTGGAAATCCGATTTTTTAGATAGAATCGTTTCTAAAGAAAATCAAATCAAATCATTATAAGCGGTATAATATAAGCCTGAACATTTATGGAAGGAGTGAAAAAAAAAAATTACGAGGGCAAAATGTTTTCATTTATTAAAGCAATCACAGAAGAAGATACCCTCGCACTCCAGAATCAATATTTTCATCATTATCAAAGTAATATCTACCTGTAAATTGCTCAAGTTTGTCTGGATTCATTGTATCTGCTAGCTGTTCATAGCTTTGCACTCGTAAATTGCTTAAGTTTAGGGATTTAATTACTGCCATAAAATACTTAATTTTAGGGATTTAATTACTGCAGTGAATTGCTTAAGTAAATGCATTTACTTGCTATTATTGGTCAACTCTTGTAAATATAAAATCTCCCTTCTATGAGATGAATGATACTCAGAAAATTCACAGCCTTTTTGGACCGACTGCTAGCTTCTTTTGAGGTACATACTGCTAGCTCCACACTTTTTGCCTTTGTTTTTTTTGGTCACTCGTTAATTTATTTATGTGTACTACTGCAGGTGTAAATATTAGCAGGCACTCCGTAAGCAGAAAGTGATGGCAGCAGTGCCTTGGGTTGCACTCATTCTGTCGTTTGTAGCAACCATCCACAACCATATAGGCCTTGTGGAAGCTTCAGCTGACATAGGTGTTTGCTATGGAATGTTAGGAGATGACCTCCCTGCTGCTACAGAAGTGGTTAATCTGTACAAAACAAACGGTATCGGCAAGATGAGGCTCTTTGATCCTAATCCGGCCGCACTTGAAGCACTGAGAGGGAAAGAAATTTATGTCAGTCTAGGCATTCGAAACGAAGACTTGCCCCAATTGGCAGGAAGTGTAGATGCTGTGAACTCATGGTTTGCAACCAATGTAGAGCCCTACCTGAATGACATTGTCTTCAATTACATTTCTGTTGGCAATGAGGTTATTCCAGGGTCCTTAGGCATCTATGTTTTGCCTGTAATGCAGTCTCTACAGAAAATTCTCGACGACAGAAACTTGGCTGGTATTAAGGTGTCCACAGTTGTGCCAGGGTCTGCCTTAGGAGTTTCATTTCCACCTTCAAGTGGCGAGTTCACACTAGAGGCAAGCAGTGTCATGAGTGGCATTGTTGCATTTTTAGCACCGCGAGGATCACCCCTTCTGATCAATGTGTATCCCTACTTTGCTTATGCATCAGACCCTGTTAACATTCGCTTGGACTACGCTCAATTTACCGCAACAAGTCCAGTGGTTAAGGATGGGGAGTTGAGCTATCATAACCTGTTTGATGCCACAGTTGATTCTTTTCTGGCAGCAATGGAAAAAGTAGGCGGGGCAAATGTCGATGTGGTGGTGTCTGAGAGTGGTTGGCCTTCTGATGGGAATGGAAATTTCACCACTCCAGAACTTGCAGGGACATATAACAGGAACTTCTTGAAACACATAACCTCAAACATTGGGACACCGAAAAGACCTGGTGCTTACATTGAGGGGTACATTTTTGCCATGTTCAATGAGAATCAGAAACCTGAAGGTGTGGAGCAGCATTTCGGACTTTTTCATCCTAACATGCAACCTGTTTATCCTGTATTTTAAAGATTCAAGACCAAGCACGTCAGCTATCTTAGCCTAGTGGTAGTTCTCTTCCCAACATTGTCTTAGGTCTAAAGTTCAAATTGCCTCCCTACTCCCTCCCATCAACTTAGTATAGTGGTAGTTCTCTTCCCAACATAGTATTAGGTCCCAAGTTCAAATTATTTTCCCATTCATGACAAATCATGTATCGATAACATATCAATAAAGAGTTAATTATGCATTCAAACATCTTACATCTCTGTGTTTTGTTTTTCTTGTGAGTTATTTGATCTTGTATTTTTGAACATTACAACATTGACTATTTAAGGTTTATACACGGTAACCAAATTATATTATCCTGCTCACTTGAATGGCTCTGAAATGATCTCTGTTCTTTTCTTTTTTATTTATCTCTGAACAAGTAATTTATTTATTTAAACCGGGTAATACAATATCCACAAAGAACAAGAAAAGTTTCGAAACCAAGAGAGTGGTTCCCCCTTCCCAGTTGCTTTCTCTGAAAAGGGTAGTTTGTGTGTACCCAACAACAGGTTCTTGGGTGTAGAAAGTCTTCCTGTTGTACTTGGTCAAGGGTGCATTAAGCTTAAATCTCAAAACCGAGTCAAGGTTTGAGATAAAAAGGCAACCATACGACACTAAAAGCATCCCAGCAACAAACATACCCTGTTAAGCTTTTCTTAAAGTCCTATCTAGTGTTTATCCTTTATTTTAAGACCAGGAGTCCAGGACAGGACAGGTTTCATGGGAATTCATGAGTTCATGCAGAAAACCAAAGCTTCATAAGGGAAAATGGACAGCTAAACTTTTGCACCTTCTGTTTGTTCACAACATTTCCTTATGGAGAAAAAAATATAAGAGGAATGGTACAATGAATAACATGCATCCACAGAAAATTTTCCATTGGATTGTCTTAGTTAATTTGTGCACCTACATAGAACATAGGTTAGCATTCGAAAGCATTCCAAATTTGCTCTTTTCCAAAAAAGGTTCATACTTATCTTAACCTCTACTTAATATATAATGCCAGATATGTAAACAAAACCTCATGTAGATGCTGTAGTTCACCTGTGTATTGTCTCTCAATTAGGACAGAACACCTAAAGCCAGACAAGCTTCATGGACATAGACAGTAAGAAAACTCTAAGCCAGATCCAGTCTCAAAACAGGCACATTAGTTGAACCTTGTAATTGTTACATAACACTTTGTTGGTATATATATAGGAGTGTACACTTAGCAAATACTCAAGTTAGTTAAGGTAGACAGACTCCAATTTTCGTTATCTGGATCAGGAAATCTAATCCTTCCTGCAGCAACCGGTGTGCACCATAAAGCCGATCAGTGTTCCTTGAGGTAGTATCTTCATGCTAGCTCCACACGTTTTGCTTTCTTGTGTGTCAAACATTAATTTATTAAGTGCACTTATGCAGGTTTAACAGGCACTCAGCAATCAGAAAGTGACGGCAGTACTGCATTGGGTTGCACTCATTTTGTCCTTCGTAGCAGCTAGTCACAACCTTATAGGCCTTGTGGAAGCTTCAATTGACATAGGTGTTTGCTATGGAATGTTAGGGAATGGCCTGCCTTCTCCAACACAAGTGGTAAATCTCTACAAAACATATGGTATTGGAAAGATGAGGCTCATTGATCCTAACCCAGAAGCACTCCAAGCACTCAGAGGAAGCCAAATTGATGTCAGTATAGGCATTCGAAATGAAGACTTACCCAGTTTGGCAGTTAGTCAAGATGCTGTAAACTCATGGTTTGCAACCCACGTAGAGCCTTACCTTAATGACATTGTCTTCAATCACATTACCGTTGGCAATGAGATTATTCCCGGGTCCTCAGGCAACTATGTTCTGCCTGTAATGCAGTATCTACAGAAGATTCTCGACAATAGAAGCTTGGCTGGTATTAAGGTGACTACTGTTGTCTCAGGGGCTGCCTTAGGAGTTTCATATCCACCTTCAAGTGGTGCATTCACACTAGAGGCCAGCAGTACTATGAGTGGCATTCTTCCACTTTTAGCACAACGAGGATCACCCCTTATGATCAATGTGTATCCTTACTTTGCCTATGCATCAGATCCTGTCAATGTTCACTTAGACTATGCTCAATTTACCGCAACAAGTCCTGTGGTTCAAGACGGGACGTTGAGCTATTATAACTTGTTTGATGCCACAGTTGATGCTTTTATCACAGCAATGGAGAAAGTAGGCGGAGCTAATGTCGATGTGGTGGTGTCTGAGAGTGGTTGGCCTTCTGATGGGAATAGAGATTTCACCACTCCAGAACTTGCAGGGACATATAACAGGAATTTCTTGAAGCACATAACCTCAAAGGCAGGGACACCAAAAAGACCTGTTGCTTACATTGAAGCCTACATTTTTGCCATGTTCAATGAGAATCAGAAACCTGATAGTGTGGAGCAACATTTTGGGCTTTTTCATCCTAACATGAAACCTGTTTATCCTGTATTTTAAAGACTCAAAACAAAATATCTTTCATGTATTAATAAAGATTTAGTTACACAAACATCTCTAAGATTTGTTGTGAGTTTTCAACTTGATTTGAACTCTACATCTGAAAATTACAACAATGAGAATTTAAGGTTTGGGTTTTGGTTTATAAAGCAAAAAGCAGATAAACTACCTCAGAATCATGCCACCTAAAATCATGAAACCAAATTTAACTACATTATTTATACCAAATAATACAACATCCAAAAGGTAAAAGTAACATTTCCAAAACACAAAAATCAGAGGCGGGAGAGTGGTTCCTCTTTCCCACTTGCATTGCTCAGAAAAGGGTAGTCTGTGTACCCAACAACAGGGTCTTGCGTGTAGAAAGTCTTCCTGTTATACTTGGTCAAAGGTGCATTAAGCTTCAATCTCAAAACCAAGTCAGGGTTCGAGATAAAAAGGCGACCATAAGACACTAAATCAGCATCCCCAGAAGCCACAGCATGAATTCCAAGCTCCCTAGTGTACCCACCACTAGCAACAAACGTACCGTGATAAGCATTTCTTAAAGTCCTCATAAACACAGCTTCCTCTTCATCACTGCCAGGTTTGCCAGATTCGGTTTGGCCATATGCTGCATAACGGGGCTGAGTAACATGGAGATAAGTGAGTTTTGAGCCCCAGTCTTGTTGAAGCTTGTTGAGCCTTTCAATCACTCCAAGGCCTAGGGTAAGTGGAGCAGAGTCAACTGCATCAAGGTGATCAATGGCTGGTGAGATTCTGACACCAACCCTATCAGCACCTACGGCTCCAACTACTGCTTGAACCACCTGAAGCAAGAATTTGCAACGGTTTGCAAGTGATCCGCCGTACTCATCTGTTCGATCATTGATCCCATCTTTCAAGAATTGATCAATGAGGTAGCCATGTGCCCCATGAATCTCAATTCCATCAAAACCTACACATCATAAGATTCAAAATTAAAGCTTACTAGTAAGCACAAAGGTGACATGCGCTTGACAAAATCATTGTATGATTGAGAGAAACCGACCTGCTCTAATGGCATTCAAGGCAGCCTGTCGATAATGCTCCACCACTTGGAGGATTTCAGGGGTTTCTAAGCGTCTAGGCTTAGGGTAAGTGGCATGAGACGCATCCGGTAATAGAATTCTCCACCTCCTCGAAATGGGAACGTTGGTTGAAGATATTGGTGAACCCCCACCAGGTTGGTAAACTACATCAATTGACAAATTACAAGTAAAAATGGTCACTGAAATGCTCCAAGCTTTAGAAAAAAATTACTATAAGAATTGCCAAATAAAGGACTAGGGGAAGTTACCTTCATGAGAAGCACGACCTACATGCCAAAGTTGACAGAAAATAATAGCACCTTTGGCGTGAACGGCATCCACCACCTTCTTCCATGCCTCCACCTGTTCATCATTGTAAATCCCAGGAACATGTGGAAACCTGCATCCACCTTAACATTTAGTGTCACTAACTTTGTAAAATTCCCACTTCAAATAACTTTAAGCTATCTAGCATGTTACGTTGTCGGATTGTAAATCAAGTAAAATAATAGACCCATCCGATTAACTAACAGCCTTATTTTATAATTTGATAAGTAAAATCCAGTAAATTATAAACATTGATTACTTATGGATGAGCAATTATAGGAAATTAGTTCTATCTAGTCAATATTTGCAAGCAAAACAAGTTCTAGTTCTAGTTTTCAAGTCAAAGTCAACATTTTGGACCAAAGTTCTTAGACGAAAAGCTCCTTAAGCCCAATAGGTCCAAACTACAGAATGTGCGGCCCAACTTGGCAAAGCTGCTAATCATTGATGAACACGAAAGAGACACTCAGCAAAAAACAAAAATTACAAAATTACCCGGCGCTAGTGTCGGAGACCAAAGTGCCTTCGGTGATCAGAAAGCCGCCGTTGGTTGACCTTTGAGTGTAGTACTCGGCCAGCGCAGGCTGCGGCAAGCCGTTCAACGCTCGGCACCTCGTCATCGGCGCAAGCACCACCCTGCAAAGGTCAAATCCGTCAAAACACACCCCAAAGCTAAACAATTAAATGACAATTATGCCCTCCCGGATTTCTCCCCGCTTTTTTCAAATTCCCGACGAAATCGGAAGCACCAAGTGGGACCAGAGTTTCATGTCCGATGAAAGAAAAAGAGAAGCAGCTAACTCGACTTGATGCAGCCGCGAAAAACTGGATCAGGGATGACTGACCTGTGAGAGAGATTGAACTTGCCCATCTTCACCGGAGAAAAGAGAGCGGGTCCCTGAGATGAAGCCTCCGCCATTTTTAGTTCAGAAACCGATCTCAGATCAAACGATCGAAAGGCCAGAAATGAAGTGAGATCAAAGAAGAATAAAAGGAGAGAGATTTTATAGGAGGAAGCAGTGGCGATCGGCTCGGCTATCAAGGGCCGTCTGCGATCCGACGGCTGTGGTCGGTTTCTGAAGTGTCACCGTATGCTTTGGCTGCTCTTGTTAGTGGGATTTTAATGGTGGTGGTCGGTCACTGTGGGCGGGACCCACAGAGGGATGTTTCCATTGCAACGGCAATGAGATTCACGTGCGGATTTATTTATCGCCGGTGTCGTTTTGGTTTCTAACTAGGAATGTTTAAGACGTGTTTGACCGTCGAGCGTTGACTGGACTCGGGTGTTGACGATGCTGTAGTCGGGTCGGGTCGGGCACCGGCAGGAGATTGAGTTGGGTTTTGATTTTGATATTGGGCCACTTACGCCCAATATGTGAGTTTTGGTCGAATTTTTAATGCATGAGGGGCCAACTTTGGAAATTGAGAGGCCTGGCCCACTAATTGAGCAGGCCGAACTAACTACCGCTATTTCATTCTCGTTGCAATTGAAACCCCGAAAATAAAATTGCCAAAAATGAGATGACCATTAAAAATAGAATTTCTTGTTGTTTTCTTTTGTAATGTTATGTTGTTTAAGAGGTGGGAAATATTTTCGTCAACAATTTTTGTATCCGTCCGGCGCAGTGTGTCCGACACTAATACATAACACGAATTCGAGACCAGCAGAACATATTGTTGTTGATTATAGAAAGATTATAACTTGAAACAAAATATATTGATATTGATATTTAATTGATGCGATTGCGGTCTAACTCTGGACAAGGATAAGCGTGTAAGCAATGACTTTTCTTTTTCTTCTGGATAAATATCTACAATATCATTATCAGTTATCATCATGTAAAAAGATTGGTATCCTATCCACCCATCCATCCGCTATAGACTCCCAAGAGATGCAAAGGAAGACTGGTTTGATTATTTGTGGCCCCAAAGTCAGCAGCAAGCAGTTTGCCATTTTGGGAAGATATACATGCACGGGATGAAAAGTCATAAATAAACAGCACACCTCTGTGATTTGACTGTTAAATCTACCCCATATTCAATTTCCATGATAAATTAAATAAATCTATGCATATTCAATTGGGATCAAAGTCAATTAAGATTGGATCCAAGACTTGAAAAACTCCATCCTTCTAGATTATTTTTTTGTGAAGGAATAAAATAAAAAGAAAGAGGAAATAGCCTTCTTTTGGGTCACTCTTCATAGTCCGTCCTTTTCTTAGTATTAACAACTGTAATTGCAATGTAACTCATAATTATAGTTGCTAACGGGTTTAGTTAATTAGAAAATGACTTTGATTAGCAGATCAGTGATCTTATGTTCAAACTTCTATTCATAGTGTGTATGAGAAAACATTTTTCCCCAATATCACTTGTATAGTCCCGATCTCTTGAACTACAGGAGTCCAAAAGATTTATGATCACTCACCGTTGGATGTAAATTCAACAGTTCACTCACTCTTGCCCTCATTTTAAGAAACTTTTTTGAACCGTTAGATTAACATCCAACGGTGGGTGACCATAATCTCTTGGACCCTTGTGGTCCAAGAAATTAGGGCTGATCACTTGTGTATATATAATATAAAAAACTCATAATTATGGTTGGTTAGATACTGTCTTACATGGATCAATCTCTATCCCATATTTATGGTAAAGCTATTTTCATTCACCTGCACTCCTCAATGGACAAACCATAATAATTTGCTTTCTTGCAAATTTGGTTTTGTCCCTATTTTGCTATGGTGTTGTTGGTAGGTGCAATTAAGAATGTTGAAAGCTAAAAACAGATAAAAATTGCTAGGTACACCCCCACAGTGTTTTGTTGCCCTAGCAATGATGCAGTCATGTTGGTGATCAGACTTGGAGCAATCTCAAACTGAAGTGGTGTGTGGTCCCCACTCCTACAACATGAGTAGGAAGGGAACAACTTTGTCACACCCTCATCATACCACACACATCCATGCCCAACTCTCTAAATCATGAAAAAGAAAAAAGGAAATACAAAAATACCAACAAAACAATCATTATTAAAAATAAAATTATGAGTTAAAAATATAAATACCCTTTGAGTGAAAAGAAAAAAACCCATTGAGCCATGTGTCCCGGTACCACTGTATGCGGTGCAAGCGTCCACACCTCACCAACCCCGCTACGTCCCAAAAATCTCCACTGAAGAATGGCGCAGTGCGCGCCGTGTGTACCAGACAGAGAGGGCAACGCCGCTTGTAAATATTATAAATAAATAAATATTTTTTTTAAAAAAAAAACTAAAATTCGACAAAATAAATCTTAAAATTAGGAGCAAGGCGGGGCCCAGTGGGATGCACTGCATAGGATGCCCATCGTACATCTGTTACCAAACAGGCAGAAAAAAGGTTAGAGCACTCTTTTGTGAGTCCAATTTTTCCGTTTCTAATTTCCATGTGCACTCCATGTTTCCTATCCAATTTTTTTACACCAATCACTCCACTAATTTCTAACTTCAACACTGTTAACTTAAATTAAAAAACCAAAAATTAATTATTAAAGAAAAATTAATCAGTCACCACAGCCCTTCACTTACCCATCCCATCGGCGACAAGGAGGTGATGAGAGGAGAGGGGTTGCCGTCGGTGGGGTTTGGTGGAGAATGTGGTGGTTGTTGAGTTTTTATTTTTCTTTAATATTTTATTTTTATTTTGTTAATTTTATTGAAAGTTAACATTGTTAAAGTTAGAAGTTAATGAGTGGCAGGTGTCAAAAAATTAGATAAAAAACAGGAGGCACAAGGAAATAAAAAACAGAAAAATTGACAGAAATAGTAAAACAATGCTATCTTTCTACACATGTTTCCCCAAACAGACCTGTAAATAATCCGGAATAATAAAGAGTTCACACCGTTACGCGCAAAAACACAAGCCAAGCAAACAAGGCAAAAAGCAACTGCCGTTACTCTGACCGTCCCTCGTTTTTCTTCTTCGCAGCTTTTTTTTATTCTTTTTTCGACGCACACGAGGCCTCTCTATATAGATAATATATATATATATATAGTTAAATGATTTATTTTCTAAGTTTTGGTTCGTAATTTCATTTAATTTTTGGTCCGGAAACTCTTCGCAATTAAACTAATTGATTAAAGTTTAAAGCGGATTAATTTATCACCATCATCCTCGCTCTCTTCTCCATTTCGTTTCTTTGAGGAGAAGCAGAAGAACGAAAGCTTTGTTATGGCCGCCGGAGATTTCTCTGTCTGAAATTCTTTCTTGAATTTTAAGGGAATTCAGAGGTGGGTTTATAGTTTTGTATTTCTCTGAGTTTATTCTGTGCCATGTTTGATTTTCTATATTTTAAAGTTGCAATCTTTTCCTTTTTCATCCTGATAATAAATTTTCAATTTTACGACAAATAATTGGTCTGCTGTGCTTGAATTGTATGGTTTCTTGCTGAACATCATCCAATATAGCAAGCAGAAAGTGAAATTTGTTCTCTTTCTCTCTCATTTCTGGGGGGTCAGGGAGCTTGTGTAACTGAAACAGCTGGATATAAGAAAGTTAACTGATCAATTTTAATACAAAAGAATAACGTTTAAAGTTAATAGCTTTTGAGTTTACATCTAGCTCAAGATTATTAATCTTTTGTATCAAATTTTTGGAAAATCATATGTCTTTGTCTATGTTTATATGTTCGTGTGTTGGAAATTCTTGTAGACTTCAGGAATACTTGTAAAGTTAAAAGCATGGTTGCAGTGAACATCAAAGGTTCAAGATTTAAGTAGGAATAGCATGAAATTAATTGTTCCAGAGTTCCTGCTTTGAATTATAAAGTATCCCTGCTCTATATGTGTTCACAGTTTCCCGTGTTAATTGTACTTGTAGTGGGACAGTCTTGATAATTAGAAATATCAATGGTTTTGCTAATGACTTGTATTGTTGAAGCGTGAATCTTTGTTAATGTTGAATTTTCTGATAGGAGGGAAGCCTTTTAGTATGGATAAAGAGGAAGAAACTGGTAGCCCTAGTTGGGGTGCTTCGTTTTTCGCACAAACGGAAGATGTTGCTAGAGCAGTTGCTGCTGTAGCAGCCGCTGCTACTGCCACTCATTCTCCGAGGCCATCTGTTGTATATTCATCTAACGATGATGGTGGTAATAGCCCACTTAAAAGACTTCAACGCCATGTTACGAATGTGCTAAAAGGTTTCTCACATCCTCCTGAAGTGAAACGTGGAACCTACAATCCAGAAGTTTTGACTAGCCAGAAGCGACAATGGGCAAGCTTTCAGTTGCAGTACTTGGTATGCAATTTTGTTAATTGGTCGCTTTTTTTTTCTTTTTTGTTTGTGTATGCAATTCAGAAATTGGTTAATCAAGAATCAAAGATGATTTTTTGTTTTATTTTTCTTGTTTACATTGGAACATCTTTCACGTTCAACAGCTATACAGCTATTTCTAATTACAGTTGTTACTTCATATTTTTCTTTTTAAATTTTTAGAATAGAACAATTTAAGGAAAAATGACAATTATATATGCTCGCTGTGAGTTTAAGGGTCGTATGATACCCTGAGACATTTTTGTTTGAAAGTTCAGGGGTCATATGATGACTTTTCTTCTTAAAAGTTCAGGGTTTCTGTATTGTTAGTTTTGAAATACATTCACAAATGAAACAAAAATTTCATCCAAAGAGATTCTGTAACACCTCTGCTATTTAAGTGTGCAGGATCATAGGTCTTTAAAGCTGCCGACAAGGCTTTTCGAGAGCATGGTTGTTTTGGGGCTTCACCCAAATTGTGATATTCAGGCACTTCAAAGGCAATATATTGCAAGAAAGCATGAGGGTTTAGGAAGATTGCGCAGTTCACGTAGTAGTCAGAATTTCTCTCGTGTGGAACCCAATCTTGAACCTCAGGTGGGGATTCTTGTTGCCAAATATTCAATTTGTTTGCATATTGACGCTTGCAAGCAATTTGAGTAGTGGGTATTAATATTCATTTCTACTTCCAGGTGTTATTTGTTTACCCTCCGGAAAAGCAGGTGCCTCTTCAATACAAGGATCTCCTTTCATTTTGCTTCCCTGGAGGCGTAGAGGTAAGGTGTTCTCTTGATGGATGTTTTGCCACTTGTTCTTTTTAATTGATCAGTTTAATTTTAGGGATTTAAGATTGATGAGCTTTTTCTTTTTTCTCCTTAAATCTATTTAAGAGGAACTCCTTTTGTAAAGCTTAGGTTACAGAGAATGATTATATAACTTGGCTTGATCTCGATGGTAATATTTACAAGGGTAAAATACCTGAGCCTTTAAATATTGGAGATGCTTACCTCATAGGTTTGAATGTATTGTGTTAATGTTTGTATTTAAGAAGAATTTCAGATAATAAATAATTGATATTCTGAATTAGTATGCATATATTGCTAAGGTTTTCGTAGCTTTTATATGGAGAACTTCTTCCGTTTAAAGAAAGTGGGGCCAGTTGTGTAAATATCATAGTGCAATCGCAACTTGAGTTTAGCCTGATTTCTTGATCTTCAGTTAAATAATATCATAGGCAATAAAAGAGACATTATATCAAGTTTTACTTGATTATGACTAGTACTTGGTGAGAGATGTTATTTTTGTCCTATGTGCAGATATGGATTTCTCCTGTTAATTTGTGTATTTGTTAGTTAAGATCTAGTTAGTCATTATGTGCTAATATTGACACCTTGGATGTGAATGGCTTCAGGTTCACGCTGTTGAGAGAACTCCTTCTATGAGTGAGTTGAATGAAATTCTTTTGGGACAGGTATAGTGCTACATTATGCTCCCATAATGTTGTCGATTAATGATTATGGATACTTATATTGACTATGATGATGCTTATTTGCAGGAGCATTTTAAACGGACCGATCTGTCCTTTGTATTCCGGTTACAGGTAAATTATAGCATGTTATGTCTCCAGGACTCCTTTTTTCTTGGATTTTCCCCTGATATGTTTCAAGATTTCTTTATAACTTTAATTCCCTGTGACAGTTGCCATTTGACTTATAAACCTCTACACTAGTAGTGCTGGATGATAGAATCATCACTGCAGCCTGAAAATTATAATTCAAAGAACTTTTTGTCTAGTTGACTGCAATCGTTATTTGAGTTGTATTTGTTCCCACAGAGAAGAAGATTGATAACAAAATGCGAAGCAAATTTAAGAGGATTGATTGTCTTCGTTATCTTTGATTAGATTTATATATGTTTAAAATGTCATTAAAATTAACAGACGTTAGGTAAGCCTATTTCTACTTCATGTGTATTGTTCCTTTTTCTCTAACCTAAACAGTTTATTTTTTAGTTGTGAATTATGCTCTTCATTTCTTGGATGACCCATTTTGTACAATATTGGTTTGAAGGTTGCTGATGATTCAACATTGTATGGATGCTGCGTGTTAGTGGAAGAGCTAGTGCAAAAACCTTCTGGATTGCTTTCCATGATAGCAGAGAAACATCCTTCTCGCCCATCTTTGAGTCGCCATATATTAACCACTAAGAGATGCTATTGCATTCTCTCAAGGGTTCCCTCATTTGAATTACATTTTGGTGTATTGAATAGGTGTGTTTATGTCATATTGGATGCTTATAAAATACATATTTATCTCAGTGATATGCGTTTTTCATTTTCACTTTGAAATGTATTCTAATCCCCTCTAGACTTTCGTATAATTATTTATGCGGAAAATTAATGTGTGTTCCTCTCCTATCTAATCATGCATGAAGTTGAAGATCGTATTATTCAATTGTCTGAGAAAAAAAAAGGAGATATTCATTTCTTAGTTCAGTGAGAAAAAAGAAATTGTAGCAACTTCAATAGAACACATAAAAGCTTTTAACTACCAGTTTATCACAAGATCCAAATTTATTGAGTGACTGGTGCATGGTTTTGTGTGAGAGGAATGTGTATGCTCCACTGTTTGGTCCTATAATTTGACAATCTTCTTTTACTATTTGATACCAACATATAACTTTGCAATTCATCTGTTGCTCAACTTGACTATGTTTGCTATTTCCCTGTAGCATCTTCACAGAAGAAAGGTTGGAACGATTAACAAAAGGTATTGATCTTTTAGATTTAGAAACCCCAAAGGATTATGGCAATGGCGAAATTTTAGAAGAAAATACAGAAGAAACTTCACATAGCATATCACTAAGTAGTAGAACCGAGGAGAACATGGTGAATGGAACAGCAGAGTTTTCTCAATCAAGTTTAAAAGATTCTTCATCTGGGAGAGTTGCAGATAATGGCATTCACCTAGAGAATCAAATGCTTGATGGGGATTTTAATGTGTTGAAGGGAAGGGTGATTGAAAATGTTGTTGTTCCAATTGATCCTGAAACCAAGACGGCCAGTTCCAAGAGAGAATCTGATGTTGCAAATGCTGAAGTTTCTGAGGTCTATGTTGATGATTTCTCTGCAAACAAGCAAGCTGGAGAAAGGCGATTACCAAATGCTGTTCTACCTCTCCTGCGTTATTATCAGTATGAAAGCTCTGAATCTTCCTCCAGGTAGATCATTGTTGTTCTTTGGTGCCTTTTCACTTGTATTTCATGCTTTTTATTACTTGCATTAGTAGTTATTATCTTTTCTCTCTCTTACTAATTTTTGGAGCAGAGAATTGCACTTTTTTCTTTGAGCTACTTCAAGTTGCTGTACTCATGCCATTTATTAGTGTTTTATGCAGTTTTCAGGGCTCTCCTAGCGAGGACAGAAATTTTAGGAGTGATGTTGATGATACAGAGACGGAAGAGGCATCTTTCTCTGGCCAAGATGATTCTGACCTCATTGATATTCTTGAATGGGCTAAGGTGCAAAATGAACTTTTCCTTTTTGGATCTAGATATGATTCTAAGCTCTTTGTAATAAGAATCTTGTGCCCAGGTGTTCTCTTGACAAATTTTTCCCAAATTTTCAGGCAAACAATCATGGATCATTACAGATAATAAGCGAATACTACCAATTACGTTGCCCTGCTAGAGGTTCCACTGTTAGATTTCATCCTTTGGAGCACTTGCATCCCTTGGAATATCATAGACCAGAAACAACCGTTTTACATATTGCTGGCTCAACCATTGATTTGAGGTCGTGCAGTACAAGTCTAGAATTTGCTGAGGTAGATGGTGATGATAGCTTTAAGAAACTTTCCAATTTGATATGTGGTGGATTTGGTTGAACTTTTGATTGATTATGTCCCAGTTCCAGACATGATTAGTCATTCACATTGTATTGCTGTTGATTATTATCAGGCACAGGGTGCACTCTCGGTAGAGGAGGAAGCAACTGCATTATCAGTATGGGCTATTGCATGCATATGTGGCTCCTTACGGCTTGAAAATGTTAGTTAATGGCTCAACATCACATGAGTTCTTCAGACTTCATTGATTATATTGTTATCTTTTCCCTTTTCTTGGAACTAGTTAATAGCTTGGCCAGTGCTATTTAAAGTTTCTCGTAGGTTAACAATGTTTTGTTGGAGTAATATTTTTTTAATCAATCAAAATGGATTTATTTGTTTTGACCCAACAAGGTAAATTTGTTTTGTTATGCTGATAGTGGCGTCTACACTTATAAGCTAATTGGAACTGTAGAACTACTGCATAAGTAAAACTGGCTCCAACATTTACAACATTTATGAAGCGGGAATCAATTTAAAATCTCCCTCAAAGTAATCATTAATTACAATGTTGTAAGAGTGGGATGATATCCTGCATATTATCTGTGGGTATTGTGCAGTGTCAGAATGTTTTTGTCAGTATATTATGTTGAATATACAGTTGTATGAATGCATGTAGATTTGTGTGTGCCTGCTTCATGTCTGACTTTGGATTATTGATTCTCCTCATACTTCGCAGGTATTAACATTGTTTGCAGGAGCACTGTTGGAGAAGCAGATTGTAATTATTAGTTCCAATTTGGTATGTATTATGAATTATATCAAGTTGGTATTATCAATCCGATGCATGTATTCTTTTTAACTCAATGTAAATTTATCAGAGAAATTTGTTGGTTTTATTAACATCTTGCCAAATGCATGTTCCAAAACAGAATTGTATAAGTATCAACTGCTGCTTATTTCATAACAAGCTGAAAAAAGCTCAACCCAATTGAATTTAGTTGGAGGTAGTAAAGAACTGTATAAGTTAGCCTCAGGCTATAGGTGCAAGTTTGAACTTCCAAAACAGAGTGGCTCCTTTCTCGACAAGTCCCAGCAAGTGAGGCCCAAGGACCAGTTACACCCATTTATGTTGTTTATTAGAGATAGCTTGGCTTAGGAACTTTTTTTGAGTGACACTAGTGTTGCCATCATTATTAGATTGTAGTTTTTTTTATTTATCAAAAGATCGTATTGTTACTGTTTCATTTGCTTATGTACTTATTTTTGGGTAAGCTAATATTTTAATATGGGTGTGGACTGTTCCAATATTTTTAAATTTGTTCTAATAATTTAGTTCTTTGACTAAGAAAAAAGATCTACAAAAGAATTTACATCAATGCTTTCTGATGTACAGGGTATCTTATCTGCCTCAGTATTGTCAATTATCCCTCTGATCCGTCCCTACCAGTGGCAAAGCCTGCTAATGCCGGTATGTTTTCCTTCTAGCCTACTGCCTGTGAGATTTGTCCCATGGGAAGTTACTTTTTTTAAACATAATAATTTTGTTGCTGTTTTCATGTGAATAACAATGTGCATATACTTTCTAGGTTTTACCAAATGACATGCTGGACTTTTTGGATGCACCTGTCCCTTACATAGTGAGTTCTCAATTTGTTGGCTGTTATGCCTATTAGTGCCATGGATTATGAATTCATGTTTGTTGGTTTATCTGGACTCTGAATTTCCTCAAGTTATTAGTTGAAAGCAAAAATTTTAATCGTTCACCATATGATTTAATCCTTATCTGTAGGTTGGTGTGAAGAACAAAACAAATGAAGTGCAGTCAAAACTATCCAATGTAATTCTAGTTGATGCAAACAAGAACCAGGTCTGTTGTTTTTTAAGCAGTTGTATTTTTCTACTTATATTGCAGCTCAAATATGTTCAGACTGTTATTAACCGTATGCCTTACAATAAACAAAGCAGAAAGTTTCTATATATTAGTTTACCATTTCCCATGCATAAGTATTATCTAGTTTGTTGGAATGGCTAGTGTTTATCAAAATGCAAAATATTCCTCTAAAAACAAACAAAATGCTATTGTCTGATCCTTTTCCCATTGTGTGATGTAATAGGTGAAGTCACCAACACTACCTCAGTTACCACAACATAAGGAATTATTTTCATCCTTAAGTCCTTATCATGCAAAGCTTGTGGGAGAGAGTTTTTTGGCTAGGAAAAGGCCAGTGTATGAGTGCACAGCTGAACAGGTGTGTTCTGCTTTGTTCTTTTTTGTCCGATTTCAAAGTTTTTAATTATTTTTCCATTATTCTCATGTGTTTATTTGGCGCATGTAGGTTGAAGCTGCCAAGGGTTTCCTATCAGTGTTAAGAACTTACTTGGATTCTCTGTGCTCTAACCTCCGTTCACACACAATTACAAATGTACAGTCGAATGATGATAAGGTCAGTTTGTTGTCCAACTGTGATAGCTGAAATGCTGTATAAGGATATTTAGGTTTTTTTGACCTTCTTTGGAAGGATGAGTGGTAAATATAATCTTCCAGAAAAATGGCCAGGCACACACACACAGACACACTGTTAGTCATTAGATAAGCTAGACTTCACTAGTAATGATGATTGCTGTAAAAGTTTAGGTAATATACGACCTGAAACAATGATCACTATATTATTCTCTTACACTGAGGGTGCAATGTTGGCTAATGTTATTTTTCAAATTTATTTTTGCATGCTTTCCTTGTGATGGAATAAGTTCTGTTGAAGTGTCAGATATATGGAACCTCAGACTAATACATCCGTATATCATTCACTTCGTACCTTCAGTTATGTTGAATTGATAAGTGCAGATCAATTTGTCAATTCTTTTGAATGTGAAATGCTTGCTTGTATATCTAGTGACATTCATATGTGAATGCACGATCATATGGTGACTTGTCTTAGAAGAATCCAAATGTACTGCTGCTGATCTGACACTGATTTTCTTGTAATTAGGTATCCTTACTTTTGAAGGAGAGTTTCATCGACTCGTTTCCTAGTCGTGATCGACCATTTATGAAGGTGTGTTCCGTGACATAATTTTCTTTTGTTTCTCTGAGTTAACCAAACAGCCCATTGGCTTGATCATTCTGGAGAATTAGCTAGCTGTTGGGATTTTAGTCTTATGTATTTCCTTAAGGTCATTATTATTGTTATCTTATTTTTTATTTTTGCCTATTTTCTGAAAGTAGTTTATAATAGATGGTGTTGGTTTCTGTGTTCTGTGTTCGTATTTGGATGAGTGTAGTATAGGATGTCATGCTGAAGACATCTAAGTTTTTAGTCGAGTCATGTAGATAAATCTCTGATTTAACCTCCTTTTTCTCTTCATTTTCGAAAGTGACTTGTAATGATTCTTACTTCAATGCTTACTCTGGATGCTCTTTAAATTGTAATACAGCGGAAAGCATACTGATGTTTCCTTTTCCTCCCTAAATGCTATGCAGCTTTTTGTGGACACTCAGCTCTTTTCTGTACATACGGATCTTGTTCTCTCCTTCTTCCAGAAGGAATAGTCCTAATCTGAACATACGCCATGCTGAGGTCTGGCAGTGAGTTATATTTTCCTGTTGTAACCTGAACGTAAGTTCGGTATAATGTCAAATTATTAAGTGACATAATATTCAAGAACTCGATCTGGCTTCTTGAAATGGCACTTCTCTTCTCCAAATGAAAGTTGCCTGCTTTGCGTCGCTGCATTCTGTATCATGATGAACTTGTATTCCAGCATATGAGAGAACTCGCAGAATTCTGGTATCCCGCTTGAAGTGTAAATAGTAATTTTGTTTTATTTACTTGAGTTGGTAAAACATGACTGTTTCACCGTTCCGATTTAATAAAAATTTAGTGGTTGGTTATTGAGACATACCCGCCTTATGCTGTTGTTCGGTGTGGCAGGCTGGTGATTAGCTTCTTGACGATATGCACGTTGGTTTTGTGGGGGCCTTGTTTTTTTTTGTTTTTTTTTCTCTCCCTTGATCTTAAACTAAGTTACTTTGAATGGAGCTAACTGCAACATTTCCTAAAATCCTGCACAAAACTATGCAGAACTTTGTCTCCACCAATTCGACTTTACCAAGTCTTGAAATTTTGAATTCGATAAAAGATTTTTAGCTCTCCTGGTTAAGTTTGATGCCAAATCTCATGTATAATTCTTGGAATGCATTCAGAAATTTTACAGGGTAATTAAAAAGAAAGAATCTCATACAGCTTTTGAATGCAGTAACAGTCCAGGTTAAAATATATTACCTTGGAGGGAAGTGAAAAAAAAGTCTGTCAACCAGTGGTTGGGGATATTTGAAGGGATGTTTTTGGCTCAAGTGGGATCAATAAAAATTAAAATTTTAAAAAAATTTAAAAAAAGAAAAGAAAAAGGGGAAAGGTGGGTTTGCATTGCATGTGTTTCAGCCTGCCAGGAGATACAAGAACAGTGCCATACAATACCCTACTTGTGCAATTTCCAAACGTACAATACAAGAATAGTTTCAGGGGAAAATAAATGCAACCAAACATTAGGAACTCTCTTAAATACTTGGGTTTTTTTGTTTTACTTTTAACACCCCACCACCACCACCACCTTCATTGAATACAGTTATATCACTATGAGCGTCCTAATAATGCAAGTCTTGGTCACAGCCAATTCAAAGATGGCCTTCTTCTCTTTTCAAAGTCAACATTTATGTCTCTATTTTTTTCTAACCCCCAAGTCAAAGTATAACTATAAGAGGAAAAGGAAACGCAGAGAATATATTTTTCTCTTATTTGTTTACAACCTTGGTCTGAGTTGTGATGTAATCTAAATCAGAGAAGCAGTGTCTTCTGTTTACAAGTCTTGAACTTTGACTTGTTCCCTTGGTTGGTCAGTCACTTGTATGCTTGCAAACCACTTAAGATTAAAAATAAAAAAAAGTTCACTTGTATTGTATGCTTGCAAGCCACTGATGATCATGGGCCTGCCTCCTGCCACAGGCCAAGGAAACCCATTTATTGAAGACTTGAAGTGAAAAGTTTCATGTATTTTATTGCTCTCAAGTTCTCAACAAAGTTCGAGTTCTTCTGATAAAAGTTTATAACTTTATAAGCTAAAGTGAACTGAGAAAAGAAGAAAACTCCTGTCCTTTGGATCAGTAACGACCCTTAATCATAAGGTTCAAATCAACGGTTAAGATCTGCACACTAGTTTATAATGCAGGAAAAAAAGAAAAAAAGAAACTTGTCTGAAGAAGAAGAAGAAAGAGAAGAAGACAAAGCAACCACATGAGCATTTGAAACAAAGAAAGCAAGCAAACAATAAGAAATATATAAGAATAATAAGTAAAGTGAGGGTTGCTGTATTTGATCAGAACCCAAAAGCGGTCCTGCTCTGAATCACTGGTTTTCTAAATTTCCGAAATTGAAAAAAAGGCCAGAGTGTAAGTGGGGGGTACTGGGGTCTGAGGTAAAGGAACAGAAAAAGTAAAAGAGTTAGTAGCAGTAAAAGCTCAAACCGTACAATCTTCTGCTCACACAGGCATTAGCTTCAGATACCAACTCTATAGTCTCTCAGACAGACAGACATAATAACACTGAATAATTAAATAATCTTTTTTCCTTTTTGTTTTTGTTTTTCAATTTTTTTAAACATTTACAACTTCTTTATTCACTTCCCTTTAGTTTATGGATTTCTGTAGAGTTGTCAGAGACAAGAGCTGCCACAGAGGCAGAAGCTTAGCTGCAGAACCAGAAGCAACAGAGGTGCAGTCATAATATGAGCACAGAGGAGAGAGGAGAGAGGAGAGAGGACACAGAGAGAGAGAGAGAGTGAGTGAGAGAAAGAGGAGGTGGCAATGGCATGCAGCACTGTAATCAGAACCATTAGTTTTATCCATGTACAGAAGATTCTGCAGCTAAATGGTCCCTGAAATAAATATACCTACTCTACTCTCTCTGCTCTGCTCTACTCTCAAACTCAAAGGCCCTCCCTCTCCCTTTACTAATAATATTGAAATTGAATCATGCAAGTGCAGCCCAACCCCATCCTGTTTCTCTCATCTTTTCTCTCTTTCACTGCTCTGTGAAGTCTGAGACAACAAAGTTTTTGGTTTCATATTTTTCTTTCCAATTTGTTCTTTGGAGGAAACTTGCTTGCTCTTTCTTTCTGATTTGGGATTTCCCTGCCTCTTCAATAATAATAATGAGTGGGAGAACCAGGTTTCCTTTTACACCGTCTCAGTGGCAAGAGCTTGAGCACCAAGCTCTTATCTACAAGTACATGGTTTCAGGCATCTCCATCCCACCTGATCTCCTCTTCTCCATCAAAAGAAGCTGCTTGGACTCTCCTCTGCCTTCAAAGCTCTTCTCACACCACCCTCCGCATAGTAAGCCAACTACCACACACACCACCACCCCACCCCCCCCCCCCCCCCCCCCCCCCCCCCCCTCTTCTCTCTCTCTCTCTCTCTCTCTCTCTCTCGTGTGTGTGTGCGCAAAGAATGGAACTTTAGAGCTTTTGAATGAATAATATTTTGGGTTTTGCTTACAAGAAGGTTCCTTGTTATGTTTGTGTGGATTTTGCAGTTGGATGGAGCTGTTTCCAGATGGGTTTGGGGAGGAAAGTGGACCCAGAGCCAGGAAGGTGCAGAAGAACAGATGGGAAGAAATGGAGATGCTCAAAAGAGGCATTTGCTGATTCAAAATACTGTGAGAGACACATGCACAGAGGCAAAAACCGTTCAAGAAAGCCTGTGGAAGTTTTCAAAACACCAATTACAACAAACTCAAACCCATCATCATCAACACCAACAACCATCTCATCAATCACATCCAAGAACAACCCCACTTCTACATCAACCCCAACCTTCCATTCCCTTTCTTCATCACTCTCATCACTGTCCTCTGAGTCCCACCACACTCAGCTCAACCACTCTAGTTACAATACCAATCTTGATCATCACCCTTTCCTTTTTCATCACACATCTTCTTCAAGGCCTCCTGGATTTGGTTTGTCAAATCAAGAAAGAAATACTTCCTTGCTTCTGGACTCTGGTTCTTATCCCCAAGCCAGCTCAGAATACAGGTATGTCTAGAAACAACTCATAAAGTTATGGTACTTATTTTCAATGTGCTCTATGTTATTTCTTTGATTATTTAAGCTGTTCATGGTTAAAATTTTGTTTTGTTTTTTGTTATTCTGGGAGAAGAAATAGGTATGTTTATGGGCTGAAGGAGGAGGTGGATGAGCATGCATTCTTCTCAGAACCTTCGGGGTCTGTGAGAGACTTCTCTGGCTCTTCATCTATGGATGACTCTTGGCAGTTCACACCACTGACAATGAGTACTTGCACTTCTTCATCTTCAAAACAGAGAAGCTGCTCTGCTTTACAGAGTGAACACTCTCAGTTGCAGCTTCAGAGCAATATCACTCCTAAACAGCAGAATTACTATGCTTTGGGTAGTGACATGAAAATGGACAGAAATGAAGGAACCCAGAAAACCATTCATCGCTTCTTTGATGAGTGGCCCCTGAAAGACAAAGATTCATGGCTTGACTTGGATGATAAATCATCAAACAGTGGATCAGTTTCAAACACCAGGCTCTCAATCTCCACTCATGACTTCCCCGTCTTCAGCTCAAGAAATCATAATGGTACTTACACTGTTTATTTTCAGTTTGTCAATTAATATTCATTTGTTTTGAGTTAATTAGCTCTACTGTTCTTGATTGTTCAGACCCAGTTGTGATCTTTGTCTATTAAGTTCATTTTGTTTGGTTTTGCAGATGACTGAGTCTCTCTCTCCAGTACTGGTTTCTGAATCAAAGGCCAAAAACTGTACTTACCTGGTGTGTCACTTTAATTTTGGTGTTTGGGTGTTTGTGTGTAAGGTCTAAGTAGAAATTGACCATTTTCTTTTATTTTATTAGCTGAATGTGGTTGAATCAGATTACTGTGTTTTAAATGAAGGATCCTATGTCTCTGGCCATCTTGGTTTCATGTCCTACTCTACTTCATATAAGAGGTTCCAAATGAGTCAGCCAAACCTGTTTTATTTTTAGGCTACCATTTTGATGTTTTGTTTGTTTGAAATCATAATTGAGGGGACCCAATGGACCCAGGATTTGCTAAATATTTTGTCAGTTCTGAATCTGAGCTTACACCAGGTTATGTTGGCGAAGAGTAAACCATCCTTGTAATCTTCAAACCAGGGCAAGCATTGATCACCTTATAAATATATCCACCAGCCACTATATACAGGGAAAACGACTCTTCATCAAATGGCTTTTCCCTTCTTTCTTGGTCCCTGTTAAAACAACTTACTTTGTATATATATACAGTGAAAGAAACCAGAGAAAAGAAGAAGAAAACAAATTTAAGAAAAAGGAAAAGAAAGAGAGAGTGATATTAGATGCACGTGCAGTAAGCAGTGACAGTAGCAGATGCAGATATAAATCTGTGTTTAAAATTGTATAAGAATCCGTTTACAAAGCTGAGGAACCAAACATAAATTGGCGCACGCATGTTTTCTTTGAAAAGATGCCAACCACTCTGCTGCTTCAAATCTTAGATCATGCAAGTTTTATTCACCCAATATCTACAAAAGAGCTAGCTGCCAATTCTTCAACCCATATATTAAATAGGACATTTATGTTGGATCCTCAAGCATGTTAAGCCTAATAAATGAATCTACAATATATTTTTTGTTGTTTTTTTTTGGCACTCTTTGGTAATGACCCCATTGCAGTCTTGCATATATATAACATATACTGCTTGCCTCATTTTCTGTAAAAATATACTCTTCCTTGAGAGTTTGACACATATGCAAAAATAATTCATAAAAAATACAGAGAAAAGCTCTTACACACGTCACACTGCTATTGACACGAATATGGAAGCTCCTACTTATATAGTAAGGAGGGAGTATTTTCTTATATAACCAGATGTAGCAATATATGTTTATTTTTTTAATTTTTTTATTGTTTTCTTGGGAAAAGCTTGAAAATCAACTTAAAAGGGAAAAAGGTGGAAAAAGACCCTAAATTAAATATTCTGATGTTATTGGAACTAAAGTAAACTGGGTTCTTAAAAGTTGAAACTGCTGAAACAGTCCTGATCCCACTCCACAAGAAAGAGAGTGTATGGGCGTGAAAGTTGTTTAGTCATATAGAAATGAGGAAGCCAAAATAGGCAGAAGGGAGAGGCAGCGAAGCTTTAGCAGAAACAGCAACACTAATCTAATCTGAATTGTTCTGAGGCCTCTGTTGGGTGAGTGGGTCTGTGGTTGGATACTTGGATTGGACCAGAAAGAGGAAAGAAGAGTCTGCAGATTTCACCATCTTTGCAGACTTAAAAAGACTTCTACACTCATCACTCATATCAGTTGGCAGATACTTGATGTGCACTCTCAAGTCTCTTAACACCTCACAGTTTCGAAAAGAACAAAAGTGGAGAAGCTTCATCTTATGCACTGTCGTTTTCAACTCAAGGAGAAATCTTGAAAGGAAAACTTTTAGATGTAACTAAGATTTTCAACTCAAACATCTGCAAATGATGAGATCTTGCTTACATCTCAGACGTATGTGGTGATCCTATGGTTCAACCTCCATGCATCTATCTATCTACGACTGTCAATCGCCATGAGATGCCCCCCAGAAATACGATCATCTAATCACTAGGGGTTCAGTCCCACCGGTAATATGGCGTTACGCCATTCTGGTGCACATGTATTCAGACATGCCCAGGTTTTCCAGAAGAAAAGGAGGGGGGGCGGGTGGCACTAGAAATGAGGAAATGAAGCTTCTATTAGAATTTTTTTTCTTTTTATTTTTTAAAGTTACAGAATACATGAAAAGAATTCTCAGAACTCTGGGGATCACAAACGGAAACTATAAACAATGTAGTGATCCTCAGTGAATAACTCATGCCTTCATATAAATATATTATTTGTTCAAAATTGCAAGACATATTTACTCCTGATTCCGTAGAGCTCAAGATGATGGATCTTAATCATCATCATCAAGAGCGGCCTCTCCATTCACTTTATCACCGCCTTCTCTGCCTTCTCCATCACTCTGTAACTCTGCAGAATTTTCTCTTACAGGACTCGACGCCGGCTGCCTCTCTTGTTGCTCATCATCATCAGATTCTGACCATGCCCGCCTTCGTCGAAGTGTGGTTGTTGAAGGTGCAGCCTAGAACATAAGATGAATATGTTACAGCCAGCAGGAAGTGAAACATTTAGTCTCTCAATGCATTTCAGCAAGAAATTTTCAGTATAAAATTTACCACCTCATCCTCGGCATCAGAATCTTCAAGCCCAGCTGCTGCAAGAGGATCTTGAACATTCTCTTCATCATCCTGCTCATTCATCTGACCAGTAGGCTCCCTGTAATTCGTGTTGGCATCTTCATCTTCCAGTTCTTCCTGATCTTCCATCATATCAGCTTCTGCTTCCAATGTGTCGTAACGAGACCTTGAGAATTTGTCCTTCTTTCTCCTTTTTCCACCTTTTCTCCTTCTCTTTTCACTATTCCCGCCCTCCTCATCATCCATTTCTGATCTTTCCCTTCGCTTAGAACCAGGTGTACTGCTCTTCCATTGCTCCTGAAGATGCAAAAAGTTTGGGGCAATTAGAAACATGAAATTCTTCAACCAAGTTTAGATGTAAAATAAATAAATAAAAGCTTTCCACTTCCTGTATCCTTCAGCATCCATCTATTTTCTATGAGAATGGCCTGTTTGGATACTACATTAGCATTCTCAGATCTGTACAGATCTCTCTAGAACTGCAGAATTATTCAAAGATATAGTTCTTTGATGATTTTCATAATACAAGCTAACCAATCGTTGACCTGGTGCTCACAGTCGAGCTTGGTAATATAAGACTTGAAAGAGAACTGCCACATTCCAATTAGGGGCTACCAAGAAGGAAGTATCAGTATAGACAACTCAATTATCAATCTTTACCTTGATGCGCTCAAACTGTTCCTCCTGTTGTCTCACTCGCTTCAGTTCGTCCTCTTGCAATCTTCTCTCCAACTGTTATACAAAAGCATCAATAAATGTGTGATGTGAACTCATACAAAAGTATCAATCCATTAACCATCGTCGTACACAGAATGAAGCAACTTTCAAATACCAAACCTGAAATTTCCTCTGTTCTTCAGCCTTACGACGGGCTTCCTCAGCCAATGCCATCTGACGAGCAACTTCTTGTTTGTGCCGAATCTTCTGCTCCTCATGCTCGGCTACTTTGAAGTGAACTCTCGCAGCCTCAAGCAAGTGACTACAATACTCAACATGGGTGTCAATTTTTTTCTCATCAAACCCATGAAAGTGAAGGCTGGAAGCAGCAGACAACTGTCTAAATAAGCGCACAGCATTTTCTAGCTCTGCAACTGTTGACCGCACCTAAAACATTGATACAAACAGAAATTTATGTGCTCATGAGAGAGAGAGAGAGAGAGAGAGAGAGAGAATGAAATCACAAATTAAACATGCATTGAATAAATGTACAGGCCAATCAAATTTCAAAGAAATAGCATTACATATAATCACAAAGACACTACATTCAACAGCCACCGCGTATCAGGAAGGGATGTCCAATAATACTACAAGCTGTAAGAACAGTTGTGCAACGTGACAACCACAAATTTCTTAATCCTGGGTTGGCAATTTCTCTCACAAAATTCTTAATTCAGGGTTCACAATTTCTCTAAACAAGATAAATCATAATAGGGTAAAAACATGAACACAGGTATGACTGACTATGAGATAAAAATGAAAACCAGATAAAGTATTGGTGGTGGACCGTGGTATAGTTGATTTTGTTGTTGTTGTTGTTCTTATTATTATTTAATGTTTAAAGAAAAATAAAAATTATTTATATAAAAAAACCCTACATAAAATGTTCTCATGTATGCAAAAATCAATCTAAGACAAATCTAAATGATCAAATTCTATTATCTCCTAGCCATCCTTCTTCCTGCTTCTTATCCTACATCATGATATCCAAGGTTGAGCCACATTGAAACACACAAAAAGCTTTTAGTGTGACAACAAATGTAAGGCAAGAAATTTTGAGAAGGTTTTCCATCAAACCTCATCAACAGATTTCTTTGGCTTTTGTAAGGTTGAAGCTGAGAACTTTTGCATTACAACACCTGCATCAAACCTCAGCGTGTAATTTGAAGGTGCCAGATGAATGGCTCGCAGCAAGTTCTTTTTGCAGTCTTGCCACTGCTCAGCTTCATAGTGGGTACGAGCCAAATAGAGTAGAATCTGAGAGTCTGTGTTATTAAAGAACTTTCTCAAGCAATTTTGGTACTGCAAGACAACAAGAGTCATCAGCACATGTATACGCCATCAAAAGAATCTGGCAAAAAGAGAAGAAGCATAGAATAGAGATGAGATGAATTCACCATTTTCACAGCCAATGCAAAATTGCCTTGAGCAAAATAAACATGTGCCAAGTTTATCCACACATCTGGCATCTGAACAAAAATGTTCCCACTAGCAGCTTCTTGAACCTACCATAGTACAAATGAAAATAGTAAACCATTCATGTACTAAAATGAGTTACTTTATATAGATATTGAGAGATCGATCATACAACTCACCTGTGTAAAAATGTCTTTTGAAACGTCAAAGTGACCTTTCTCTGCAAAGACCACTCCAGCACCATTGGCAGCATACAAATTAGCAGAATGTTGGGCTAGGACCTATACGCATGACAAAACAAATATTAGGTTTTTGCAACTGAAAAGAAATGAAATATCAGGTTTTCTGTTA